AGCAAAGCAGGGACATGGTATTGGTAGAAGACTTGTGGCTATTTTACATTGCAAAGACTAAGGCCTTAGTCCTAACCATACTTACTTGGAAGTAAGCGCATTGAAATCAGCGGGCCTTAGTCCAAAAACACTTCTTTTTAGATATCAGGCTTAAAATACAGTACCAGGGAGCTATAGTGGACAATTGTCTGCATGAATGTATGTTAATAGTGGCATATCATGGTTCTGTTTTAAAGGAAAAGCAATGAAGAGTAGCAATACAAATTTTAAACAGGGTATCGAGCTGTAGAAGTGGAAAGAGCAAAGAAATCCTGATCCAGATGTTCTGAAGTGGAATGCATGCATTTGCAATGCAATCCTGTATATAATTACTCAGAAGCGATTCCTGCAGTATGCAGAGGAGCTTAATCCCAGGTGCAAAGAATTGCAGCCTCAGAATGTTACTGGAAGGAAAAATGAGATGCTGAATGGGGTAGCCTGATAGAATAATAATAATTGCTAAAGCTGTGTAAATTAGACTTGCTTCTGATAGATAGTAGCCATACAAACTTGTAATTTATGCAATTATTATGACTCTTAATTTTAATATTATGTGCATATACTATGAAAAAAAATCTTTTATTTTTAAGATGGTATGCTGATGAATGACTTAAAACTTATCTGTTATCCTTTGAGAGATCTGCATTGCCAGTGCAGCACTGTAGTTCGGGGAGCCCACCATTTGTTAGACAAATGTACCCCATCATAACAAAAGTAATGAATGACAATACAGTATGTTTAGTCTTTTTTCTTTCTCATTCCCATTTTGGAACTAAATACACACATTGAAGGATGTATGTATTTCAGTATTGAAATAGTTTGCTGTTTAAAATATCAACAAGGCTGGGGAAACCTTTACTGACTGGTAGGAAAGGGAGACATAATACATGTGTATAGCTTTAAACTGACATTCGTATTATATATATTTTTTACTGAAATTGTAAACATTAGCCTATTTTAATCATTCTGACTTCATTGGGACTTACTTTGGAACAGGCGGCTTGATTGAAGTAAACAATCAACCCTTGTTAACTTTTATTCAGGCGAAACTTATACCAATACCACTGCTGCTTATAACCACCGAATCAAGAGAGATCATTTGGATAAGGGATACTGTTTCTGATATATGTATTAGTGATTTACATAAGTTATAATGATGGTTTGGATGCAGAATTCTAAAGGCCAATATGCAAAAGAAGGCTGTTGAGGTGAAGCAACAGTTTCCAGTATGTTGGGCAAATGCTAGCTTCTAATATGAAAGGTTATTATAGATTGACTGTTATGAGTATTAACTTATAAAAATGAAATATTTGTGTATAAGCACCATGTGATCCTAGTTAACGCTTTCTTGGAGGTAAGGCCCATTTCATAATGGATGGGGCTTGCTTCCATGTAAATGAATTTAGGATGGATTGCAAATGCGTTCAGTTATGATTTTGCTTTATTGTATAGCTTGACGATGGCACATAAGTGGAATGAAATGCAAAACTGTTTTTAGAAAGAGAAGCACTTGTTGCTCTAACTTACAAATACTTGAAGACATTTAAAAACTATTTGAAAACCTTAAAGCTCTGTTGCTGGATTTAAAAAAAAAATGCCAAAGGTTCATTGTGTGGCTTCTTCATTACTGCATGCTGCCTTTTACATATCCCCACCCCCCACTTCCATTTTGTTTTTAGCAGCCCAAAGGCAAAGCTGCAGCCTGCCTTTTTTCACTGGTTAATAGGGAGGGGGTTGTTGTTTTGCAGTACACGTAACTTGTAGCTTACACACTTTTAACATGTGCAGTTTCAACTTTTTGCAGTTGAAGGCCGGCTGGTTCGAATCGTACAAATTAAATGCACAGCAGGCAGAGAGATTTTAAGTTCCCATACTTGTTTACTTGGCTCTCAGAGGCTCTCTTGAGAACTCTGTCTAGCTTGGTGTGTGTGTGTTCGCCAAGACCTGTTCAGTGCTCCAGAGGGAAAGACTGTTCACTTAGGGGCAGTTCTAAGAGGGTGCTTTGAGTATGTCAGGGATGGGTTGTGCCTATGCACCATCCCCTCACATAAGCTGTGAGTTACTTGTATTTTTAAATGGCTCTTTTGTGCAGAACTGCCCTTGCACAAAACAGCTATGTTAAAAAAACAACTGCCCTTGCAGCTCCAGGGACACGAAAGCAAAAGTGGAGAAAGGAAGCAACATACTTCCATGTGAGTGACTCCAAATCCTTACCTTGCTTGGAGTAGCTTACATTTATTTGACTGCTCATTTATGCAAACAGTGGGTTAAATTGTTACTATCATAATCCACCTGGGACCTTGGGGTGAAGAGTGGGCAATCATGCTAATAATACACTAGAAAACTTGATTCAAAAAAGACTTAAAAGGGGTGTGTGCACACAAGTGCCTGTCCGCATGTCCACAAGGGACCATCAGGCTTCCAGAACTTAAGGTAGGTAAAGTACTAATTGAGAGTTGAGGGGAGGGAACAACACAGTGTGAATACAACCTTGTTGTTGGCATCTGTTTCAAGAGACAATGGAGATGTGTTAGCAGCACCAAAGTGACCTCCCCGGAGTGCAAGCCTGGGCAGTGTGGATACAACCATCTCACTTGTTGGATTATCCCACCTCAATACTGGTTTGCACTCTGGTTTGTGCTCATGAGTAGACAAAGGTCCATGAATGCTCACATGGGAACTGACCTAGGAATGTATTAACGCACTAAGTGTGGACCCAGCTTAGCTGAAAGAAGCAAGTTATCAACCTTTTCTGCTCAGCTTGCATTGCAAGTTAAAAAAAAAAAGCAATGCAATGACAAACCTAGACAGCATCTTAAAAAGCAGAGACATCACCTTGCCAACAAAGGTCCGTATAGTTAAAGCTATGGTTTTCCCAGTAGTGATGTATGGAAGTGAGAGTTGGACCATAAAGAAGGCTGATGGCCAAAGAATTGATGCTTTTGAATTATGGTGCTGGAGGAGACTCTTGAGAGTCCCATGGACTGCAAGAAGATCAAACCTATCCATTCTGAAGGAAATCAGCCCGGAGTGCTCACTGGAAGGACAGATCCTGAAGCTGAGACTCCGATACTTTGGCCACTTCACGAGAAGACTCCCTGGAAAAGACCCTGATGTTGGGAAAGATGGAGGGCACAAGGAGAAGGGGACGACAGAGGACGAGATGGTTGGGCAGTGTTCTCGAAGTTACCAGCATGAGTTTGACCAAACTGCAGGAGGCAGTGGAAGACAGGAGTGCCTGGCGTGCTCTGGTCCATGGGGTCACGAAGAGTCGGACTAAACAACAACAAAATGGTAAAGGGGTCTAGAAGACTCTCTGGAAAAACTCCGGAAGATTTTGTCAAAATATCATTTTAATAACACACAGGGCACCTCACATCAAAATGGATGAAGCTTCTGTATTATAAACTGCTCCCCCCCCCACACACACTATATTGCTTTGTCTGGTGTGGTATAGTTTTCCCAGTCACCTTAAGGATGGGCAGAGAAATCCTAATGGGGGTGGGCACAATTTGAGTGGTAGAGCCACTGGCAGTGAATGTTCTGCTGATTCCAGCTACTCTGGATGGAATTTAAAGGCCTGTTTTAAGAGAGAAATTTAACTGTTCTGGTAAAACGCAAGCAGTGAAGGAAGCCAGACAAAACTTTCAGGGGAGGGCGTCCTCCCCAAAAGGATATTATCTAAGGATGGAGAAAAGGGATGGTGGGGGTGTGGGAGGTTCTTGGGCAGGATGAAATGGACAAAGGCGGTCGGTCCCTCAACTAACCTAAACCCAAGCCTTTGGCATTAATGAAGGTCAACACCAGCACTGTTGATTGCTCTCAGAATAAGCTGGTACCCCTAATAAGTGGAACCCAACGTCTCATCCTCCCCTAAACATCTGTCTCTGACACATTGAACCATTCGGACGCGCAACCTTCCATGTGCATTAATTCCGTTATGCAGCCCTGCAAAAGGTTGCGCTACGTCTCCTTCCTGAATGTCATGCAGCACTTCGTTGCCTTTTAAAACAAACAAAACGAAAACTGCACGGCATGTTTTTTTCCAAAAGTAAATCCCTCGTCAGTTCCCGGGGAGACCACTCTGTCCACCCGCTGCAAATCGAGAGGGTGGCAACTAACACCGCTTAACCGAAACTGTAATCCTGGGCAGCTGCCAGGATTTCACCCGTGCTCAGCTGTGCCAGGCGGTGGCGCGCATGTGCGCGTGTCACACAGAGCTGCCCATCTCTCCCTTGGCTGCTGCTGTTGCCATAGAACTTCTGCCCTCTCCTCTTCTTAGCACAAAGCGGCTCAGCAGAAGCTCGGCTGCCCCTCTCTCCGTCCACCTCGCCCGCCCGCCCTAGTTTCACGGCCGCCGAGCCATGCTCCACTCCACCCCCCTACTCCCTGAACTACGATTCCCATGGTGCCTCGCGAACAACCAAGCTCCAGCTTCCGGTGGCGCGTGGTTTCCGGCTCGGATCGGAACCTGGAGCCCGGATTCGATCCGGGTGTGAACATTCCAAAAGCAGGTAAGGCAGCCCCCCTCCCCCACCCTCCCGCCTCGCCGCGCGCCGCCCTCGCCCCTCGCGCGGGGACTCTGGGCCGGCGGGCCCCCTCTGGCGCGCGCGGGGCGCTTCTCGGGGAGGCGCGGCGGGGCCCCGGCAGCGGCCGCGGCGCCGCCTGCTGCTCCCTCCCCTCCGTCCCGCTCTCCTCCTCCACGCCGCCTGTTCTTTGTTACAGGCAGGAGCCGCCTGCGGCCGCGCGGCGTGGAGGGGGCGAGGCGGGTCCGAGGCAAAACCCGGCGGAGCCGCTCCCGGATCCCCAGCCCAACCCAGGCAGCCGCCCGCCCGCCCGGGCAAGGCTGGCCTGGTGCCTCCGCCGCCGCCCTGGGCTGCGCTTCTCTCCCGCCCCGCGCCCTTTCCTCCTTTCCCCTCCAACCCTCACCGGACCTGGGTGGGGCAGCCCCTGTGCTCGGGGAGGGAGCGCGGGCGGGCGGGCGGTGCACCCCAAGAGGCAAGGCTCGGGCTCGCCCTGGGGCTGGGAAGCGGAGGGCTTCGGCTTGCCCGGGGGCAGGACAAAGCGCCCTCCCTCCCCCGCCGTGGTGCGCGGTTGGAGAAGGGCAGGGCAGGCGCCGCTCTTGCGAAGGGGGCGTGTAGAGGTGGCCTGCTCCATAGACTGCAGCGACTCGGAGAGGTGCGGGACTCTCTCCTTAAAATCCGCAGATTGTGCCCCCTCTCCGGCGTCCGCTTGGTCCTTTTGTGCCACATGCACAAGGTCACACACACACACACACGCGGACCTTGGGGAAATTCGGCATATCTGGCACGTCCTGTCTTTGCAGTCGCGTTTTCTCTTTGCATTGAAACAATGTGGGTTTCTTTAAAATAAACATTTAAAATGCTCTTTTTAAAAAATTCTCCACTCGCCTCGGTTGAGAAGTAGATCTGGTAGAATAGCTTGCTGATTATGATATTATATTCTGATAAATTAATTCTCATATTTAAAATATTAAATGTATGCTTGAGTCAGGTATTTTCCCTATTCTCCAATCATCCATTTGGCTATAAGGAGTTACTGTTGTAACTGTATTCCATCCTCTGATGTGAATGGACTGGCAAAGATTTGTTAGCCAGGCAGATTCATCCAGTGGCATAAATTGCTCTCTTTTTATTACATTTTTCAAAAAACTAGTTTAATCATGCGGGTCATTTCCATGTATGAAAATAAATGTGAAAACTGCAAGTTTTAACTGGTTTTAATAAAAAGACATTGAATGCAGATGCATTGTTTCTTGACCTGTTTACCTGTATCGAGGGCCACATACTACACTGTCAAAAATATTAACATGTCAGAAAGGAATGTGTGAAGTGACCTGTCATAGGTGGCTTGTAAAATCCCCAAAATGGAATTTAGAGTAGGATTATTGTTCATGTACTAATCTGATATGGGGGTGGAGGCTTTTCCAATTTTTGGATTCTCCATCATTAATACTTCTTTGCACTCTGGCTTGTGTTGACACACTTAGCATAATGTCATGGAGTGTTTTCAAGGGAAACTGCCGATTTCCATGGTGCATTTATTTTTCCCCCTTCACACATGGTCACGTCCTGCTGAGGAAGTTAATTAAGGCTACACGTTCCAACCACTGTTGATAGTAGATATAAAGGGGGAGGTATGTTTGTTCAATAAATTTTATTGTTTAATGGTGTCCACAGCCTACTTGATGATTGATACATTCAACTGCAAGATGCATGGGTGCCATTGTATGGTCCTAAAACACCTTTGGAACCCATGATGTTTGCTATTAGAGGCCCATTTAAGGTGGCAAAGATGCTTCAAAATAATCCCTCATAAAATTAAAACCAATACTATAATATTCAATAAGTGAGCAAAATAAAATATTGGAAAGCATTTTTCTTGTTTCCTTGCACAAATTCAGATATTAGTTAATCCATTAATCCACTTGCAGTCTCTTTCCTGTTCGTGTTATTGATGTAAATAAATTTTCTCTCATGCCTTTAATCATGCAAATACTTGCATGTTTATCTTAAAATCTCCTCTAGTTGTAGGATTGGCATTGGACTGTTTACTAAGTATCAGGTGTCTATGTTTTCTCAGCTATACTCAGATATGATCTCACTCTTTTGATGCTGCTTTTTTAATTAGTTCTGCTTCCTCACCTATCTTGCCCAAAGAAAAATGTACCAATTAGCAGTTTACTGCAAGTTATTATCTGTGTTTATTTCACAGATGCTATTTCTGTAGTCATGTAGCCTTGATATCAGTATGATTATTCATTTATATTTTTGCAAAATGAAAGCATTGCAATAAAATTAATTAGTATGGTGCATCTGAATTTTGCCTTGCGTGTCAATGGGAAACTAAGGCATTAAAAATACCAAAAAGAAGAAAAGAAAAACCATAGTGCTAACAGCAGTTATAAGCACTGAAAATTGCCACAAATGTATAAATACCGCAACCAAGTATAAAATGTATTGACTCTGCTTTCGTCAACATGTTGATTTGCAACTTAAAGACTTGTATAGTGCAGTGTTTCACACCCCCTTCCCATCTGTCATCTACATGGCTCTGCTGGTTAGTGTGTGGTACTGATAATACCAAGGTTGCAGGTTCGATCCGCATGTGGGAATGCTTCACATTCCTGCATTGCACAGGGTTGGACTAGATCCTTGGAACTCTTCCAACTATGATTCTAATTTTGGACTGTTCATTCTTGTTGTACCACTTGTCAGCCAAAGTCAATGTTTGGAACAGTAGCGCTAGACCAGCGTTTCTCAAATGTGGGTCTCCACCGTTTTGGGACTACAATTCCCATTATCTCTGACTACTGGTCCTGCTAGCTAGGGATGATGGAAGTTGTAGTCCAAAAACAGCTGGAGACCCAAGTTTGGGAAACTGCCCTAGAGGAAGGGTCAAAACGCAATTAAAGTCAGTGTTCCTTTTCCTGGACATGCCTTGTTTATCTTCCAGGATCCTGGTGCTTCTGGGATGTTTACAAGCAGGGTGTAAAGTTAGCCTTCTGTCCCCAGCATGTGATATTCAGAAGAGTACCGTATTTTTCGCCCTATAGGACGCACCGGCTCATAGGACGCACCTAGTTTTCAGGGGGGAAATCAAGGGAAAAAATATGATTCCCCCCCCCGCAGCTCTGGGAGCAGTGGACAGGCTGCACGCAGCCTGTGCGCTACTCCAAGACCTTATCCCTGCTTTTGCGGGAGGTGGCGGAATTCCCCCACCTCCCGCAAAAGCCCACAGGAGCCCCGCGTGACTCCTGCGGGCTTTTCGACCAGGAGGGAGAAGGGACTGAAACGGCCAGTCAGTCCCTTCTCCCTCCTCGGGGAAAAGCCCCCAAGAGCGGTGCGCTCTTTAAATGGTGCGCGGCTCCTGCGGGCTTTTCTAGGAGATGGAGGAATCCCCCCCCCCGTAGAAAAGCCAGCAGAAGCCGCGGAGCCCCTTTAAAGAGCGTGCGGCTTTTGCCTGCTTTTGCGGGAGGTGGGGGAATTCCCCCATCTCCCGCAAAACCCAGCAGGAGGGAGAAAGGACTGAGTCTGCCAGTCAGTCCCTTCTCCCTCCTTGGGGAAAAGCCCCCAAGAGCCGCTCGCTCTTTAAAGGGTGCGCGGCTCCTGCAGGCTTTTCTAGGAGGTGGGATTCCCCCACCTCCTAGAAAAGCCAGCAGAAGCCACGGAACCCCCTTTAAAGAGCGTGCGGCTTTTGCCTGCTTTTGCGGGAGGTGGGGGAATTCCCCCATCTCCCGCAAAAGCCCAAAGGAGGGTTGGAGAGTAGCTGGAAGGCGTCGCACGCCTTCCTGCTGCCCCCCATCCTCTGGGGCTGGCGATGGGGGAAACACTGCTTTCCCCACCGCCAGCCTCAAACCCGGGTTGGAGAGTAGCGGCAAGGCGTCGCGCGCCTTCCTACTGCCCCCCATCCTCTGGGGCTGGCGATGGGGGAAGCGCTGCTTTCCCCACTGTCAGCCTCAAACCTGGGTTGGAGAGTAGCGGCAAGGCGTCGCGCGCCTTCCTGCTGCCCCCCATCCTCTGGGGCTGGGGATGGGGGAAGCGCTGCTTTCCCCACTGCCAGCCTCAAAGAGCAGACTCTCCTGGCTTCAGCAGAAGCAATGCAAAGCCTCCGGAGTGCAGGCTTCGGAGGCTTCGCATTGCTATCGCTGAAGCCAAGGAGTCTGCATTCGCCCCATAAGACGCACACACATTTCCCCTTCATTTTTGGAGGGGGAAAAGTGCGTCTTATAGGGCGAAAAATACGGTACTCCTGGGTATGGAGGTGCCATTTAGCTATCATATATTAGCTATGGAGAGAATATCATTTGAATTTAATAACTTTTTGAGCCATCCAGGCTAACAGACGTATGGGGTACTTGTTACATAAAATACACACTTGAAATGATTTGCTCACAAATAAAAATAACATGAGAGTCAAAATAGTGCTTCAGAGAGCTAGGATTAGTTGTAATGGGCATCCATGTTATGGAAAGCACGTTTGCTGCTACATAAAATCGTGAAGCATCCCGAATTCACTTAGTCCCTATATCTATTAGAGGAAACATCCTGTGCCCCACAAGTTCAGAGGTAGTTGGTGAATGTCATGCTTAACCACATGTGCATTCTAGGTAATTAAGCCGAAGTGAACTGACAGGGTCCTTTATGCCTTCAGGTAAATGTACAGAAATAAAAAACAATTAATAGAAATAATTGAAACAAGCTCTTTCTGTTTTATAGATTGCCTCTCCATAAGCAAAAGCTAAAGGGCCCTCTTAAGAAGTGCCATGTCTATGTCCTTGCTTGTCTTTTCTGCATTTGGGAGTTTTATTTCTAGAAGACTCCCAAATAAATACCAGTTTTGGCCCCTCTCCGTTGTCAGCTATCGCAGCTACCTGCAGAACATTTCAGAACAGAAGCTGCTGTTTCTGAAAGTACCAAACTGAAAGCTTAGAAGCAGTCGTCAATGATTTTGATACTTTTAATTGGTCTTAACTGGTTTTCGTCTTTCAACATATGTTGGTCTCATGTTTTTCTTTGCAACCTCAAAGCTAGGTACCTCACTTTTATTTTTATTTTTCAAGTGAAGTCCGTTTGCAGATGGGATTGGCTAGGGCTTTCCACCATATGTATAAGATCACATGGAATGGACATGTGCCATACATAGGTCTATATATGCTTTTTCCTGTATGGAAGTTATGTTTGTTTAGGAAACTTGTCATGTTCTGCAATTCAGACACAAGGTTGAGTGTTAAATTTTCAAGTTATTGTGCACAGCGTTCTTAAAACAATAACATTAGTGGGTGATGGGAAGGCGATAGAGCACCTACCATCTCTAGGTAAGGCTAGGAATATCCCATTTGAAACCCTGGAGAACTGCTGCCAATCAATGTAGACAATATCTGTCGGATGGTCTGACTCAATAGAATGCAGTTCCTTTAATTTTGTGAGTTATGTTCTGTGTTTAACTGTATGGAGTAATATAACCCTTTAGAAATCAATAGCAAACCTCCAGCCAAATGTAACCTGGGGCCTGTTTTCATCCAGCCTCTTCTAGGCATAAAAAGCACTTTTGTTAGTATGTTGGAATCCACATAACCCGGGCAGGTGAGCTTTTTGCTATGAAGTGCCTAACAGTCTCATTTGAATCTGTCCCTTCTGTTTTCAAAGGTCTTCAAAATGGCAGAGGATGGCAGCAAGGAGGCCGTGCTTATCTGTAAGTATCCAAGAATACTTCTGCATTAAATATGCCTCTGAATATTAATTGTCAATGAGAGCCAAATGAGGGCTGCCACCTCTCCTGTGTTCTAAATAGAAAAGACAATGAATGTCAGATCCCGGCACCCAGTAAAATGCAGACAATTTAAGTGGTTGTTTTTCCATTTAGGAGAGGCTGAGCCCATAGCTGTCAACTTTTCCCTTTTCTTGCAAGGAATCCTGTTCGGAATAAGGGAATTTCCCTTTAAAAAAGTGGAAACGTTGACAGCTATGTGAGCCAGTGTAGGCAAGAACTGAGCAGGCATAGCAAACAGTCTGCCATGCATTGTAGATTTTCTGGGGATATTTACGAAGACCTTTTGCTACTGCTGTAGGAGGTATTAGTGGGCACATTGGCAAGCTGTAAAGGTGAACAAATGCAAGCACATATACTTAGTCTTCCTCTTGTCTGGGGATGAGACCAGAGAGGTTAAAATAGGATTTACAGAAAAGATGGGGGATTGGAGAGGGGGACAGAAGCATGGTGTTCAAAACTATAAATGACTGGTTCTCAAAACGTTTTTCTCTGAGCCATATTCACAGAATAAAAATTTGATTGTGCCACACTGAATTTTGTAGTGATTAGAAATACATTGGGCGGCGGGGGGGGGGGGACAACAACTTGCAGCACTTGATTTATAACATAGAACACAACTACTTTATAATATGATCATGGGAAACCAGAAAGTATGAAACAATACATAAGAACTTGAATCATTCCCAAACTAATGATAAACGCATCTCCTCTAGCACTGTGTTTGAACAGTGATTCTAACTCACAACTAGAATTGTTCTCCGTATCATTTGATGTTCTTGCTGTCATTTTGAAAAGATATCTCTCCGTATTCTGCAAATAATAAAAATTATTTTGATACTATACTATAGTGAAATGTTTAAATGTTTCTTTGATTGTCCTTGAATCTTTTCGCTACACTAGCCATCCTTTCCTGCCACACCAGTTTGGGGCACCACAACCTTTCAGAACTGCTGCCATAAATGCATGGGCCCACAGATTGCACTGTGGATTTGCAGATTTATCTGAGATATCAGCTGTTGAATCTGGGCATACACACACTGAATTTTACATGTGAACACCCTTTCAAACAGTACGCCAGGGCATTGGTGTCCTGTGATATCAAAGGTGGGATAAGTGCACTTGTTTGGCATGGGGTAAAAGGTCTGTTTTGTTCCCTACTACTAGGTAAAGTTATTATAAGGGATTGAAGGTGCACCAGAGAGGAGTATGGAGAAGTTTGAGGTGCATGTGCTTGGAAAATGCACATTTTTTTGCATTGCTGTGAGAAGCTTCTGAATAATCCTTAGTAGGATTTCTTGTTCACTGTGGGATTCTTCCTCTCATGGCTAGAATTTAAGTGGTGGTGGGGTGGTGGTACCTAATTTATAGCAACTGACATCACAGACATTCGTAGCTTCAAGCAGTCTCGTTTTACAAACCAAACAATTTGTTTTGTTTCATTATTTTGATGTTCTGTGTTTTTTTCTTCATGCACCATCACAATAAATAAATACTGAAGGGTTAGAACAGCACTAATAGCTTTGCAGATGCCCCCAAGGCATAAAAGAGCATGCAAGAGTGCAGTTTAGTTGTGATGACTCTGCAGTGCTGACAGCTGTGGTGCTTTTTTTGCTTTTTTACCAGCAAGCTAAGCCGATGTGTCTGAGATACTACAAAAAAATACAGGATGACTTGCAGTAGTGTTGGTTTGAAAGCAGAAGACCAGGGATTGGAAACCATGCTCTGTTTGTGAGGCTACCTTTGGGGTTGGTCAGGAGGCTGCAGCTGGTGCAGAATGTAGCAGCTTGGGAGCATGCTACTGCCAGCAAATAATGCCTTGCCTGTGGGGTTTGCACTGACTGCCAAGTTCAAGGTGTTGGCATATATCATGCAGGGCCAGGTTATATACCCAGTGGGACACTGTGGTTGGTGGGAGACCTCTCTTACAAGTTCCAAGGATCCCAGAAGCCTGCACTACTGTAACTCAGAGCAGGGCTTTCAATGCATTTTTCCAGCTGAAAGAATGGATCTCTGCCATGGGTGCCTGTTTTGCTCCCCCCCCCCCCCCGAAATAAATCTGATCTTTTAAAGACTGTATCTTGTGCATTGCCTCAAGACCTGTGCTTGGAGGATAATTAATAAATAAGCTCTCTGTAGGCTGTGTTGGTGCAGGTCTAACATTTGAATAAGTGAAAGGTAAGGTTGGAAGCAGGGACGTGGGTGGCGCTGTGGGTAAAACCTCAGCGCCTAGGGCTTGCCGATCGCATGGTCAGCAGTTCGAATCCCCGCAGCGGGGTGAGCTCCCATCATTCGGTCCCAGCTCCTGCCCACCTAGCAGTTCGAAAGCACCCCTAAGTGCAAGTAGATAAATAGGTACCGCTTTATAGCGGGAAGGTAAACGGCGTTTCCGTGTGCTGCGCTGGTGCTGGCTCGCCAGAGCAGCTTCGTCACGCTGGCCACGTGACCCGGAAGTGTCTTCGGACAGCGCTGGCCCCTGGCCTCTTAAGTGAGATGGGCGCACAACCCTAGAGTCGGACACGACTGGCCCGTACGGGCAGGGGTACCTTTACCTTTACCTAAGGTTGGAAGCAACCTTACTTGGCGCAAAAGACAATTAGAGGTGATGTTGGACTTGCTTTCCGACTAAGATCCAAAGAAAAGACATGGAAGCTGAGCCACAGCTTTAAAAGAGGATTAGGCGGGTGCATGGAGGGCAAGGCTATCGGAGACTACTCTTCGCAATGCCTTTGTTCTACATCCACTGTGGAGAACAGTTGCTGGAACCCAGAAGTTTGGAGAATAAGGCTGTACCTAACTCCTGCTTGCAGACTTTCCGCGGGCATCTCGTTGGCCACTGTGAGAAAAAGGATGCTGGACTAGAGGGGCTTGATCCAACAGGGCTCTTTTTATTACATTATATTTGGCTTAGCATGTTATTCGGGCATGCATAAGCTCTCATAGGACAATGAGGAAACTGCCTTGTACTGCGCAAGACCATTGTTCCGTAAACTTGGTGACTTCAGCAGTTCCCTAGGATCTAAGACCTAACTGGAGATGCCAGGGCTTGAACTTTTGCATATAAAACATGTGCGCTGCTCCCTCCCCAACTAGGAGCGGAGGAATAAAGCAGCTGTGAGGAGGGAAGCCTGCACACTCATGTGGTGTCCTGCCCACGGTTGTTTACAGGCATGGGGCTCTTCAAAATAAGGATCTGGGTTCATCTGAAGCTCAGTAGATGGAGCTTTTTTATTCTGAAGTTCTTGCCATGCGTACAACCACAGCCAGGCTAGCGTTCTTTATCCCCAAATTCGCCCTGCCAGTCTGTGCAAGTCCTGGGCCTGGGCTTAGAACAGGGCATTCTGAAAAGCATGGCCTGGATAATGGAATGGATCTACTATTACAAAAAAGGGAGAAGCAGCTTTGGCTGTAAACAAAGCTCACTCCTAGAGATGTTTGCTCCTTCTGTGGAGCCTGGGAAAATGGTGATGCCTCTTGGTTGCTGGAATAGACTTTGCTCTGAACACTGAAGAGACGTAACTTGAGGTAAATTGAGCTGGAATGGTTACAAAACAGTCTGGTGAAAGGTGTTTGTGTAACATCCAGAAGAAAGCGGCTTTGCACGCATTGATTCAGAGAATATGAATATTATTTTCCAGCCAGAATCGGTTATACCAAGTGTTGCTTCCCCTTCCTCTAAGCATCCTTCCTCGACTGACAAAACCATAATTGTTAGACATTTATTCAAAGCCTATTTTCTTTGGGAATTTTTGCAGGTGCTGTTATAGTCTGATAACACAAGTGTCATTTTATTCCTTATTTATCCCTGGGATGAAATGAACTATACTATTGATTCAAACAAGTACGTGGCCACCGGGTAATTGAATATCACAGTTGTTGGAGTACACTGTGAAGCTGCTTGGCTTTCTCCATGGCTACCTGCTTTTTCTTTTGTCTGCTTTCAGGGTGTGAAGATTGCAATCAGCATCATGATTCCGAATGTCCAGAACTGGGCCCAGTGGTGATGGTCAAAGACTCCTTTGTGCTAAGTCGGGCAAGGTAAGCCAGCTCTTGCCTTGTTGGCTTGCTTAATTTTAAAGTAAATGAAGCCAGATTGCCAATGCAAAAGGGAGTCTTCTCTTCTCACTTATTTTGCTTCTAGTATCACATTTTGAACTAGGAATGCTCCCAGTCTTTGAGAACTCACATGCATGTAACTTTAAATGTCTCCCAAACAATTCTAAGCTGCAAGATCTCATTCTGGAGTGTTTTCAGCAGCATGAGAAAATGGGGAGACAATTAGTCCTGCCAGCCAGGGCAGAGTATTATGGCTAAATCGTCCTTTTTAACCTTTGCCTTTTCTTATATGTAGATGACAGCTTCCTGGCATTTATCGTAGTGAGGGAGAAAAGCAAGGCTAATCACATCTGTGTCGGTGGAGCATGTGGATTGTACAATGTGAACGACACAAAAATGGAATTTACAGACGACTCAGTTTAGTTGTACCTAAGTCATTGTGCAAGCAGAATGACTACCCTGCAAATCTGCTCTGGGGATTCCTTCAACCTTCCAGAGCAGATTTGGGGGTGCTCGGGGGGGGGGGGCAAAGAAGGAGAGAGGGAAGGGAAATTCCATTGAAGTCATCGCCTGAGTGCAGAGAGTTCAGTTGGATACAACCCTTTCTTCTAAGTGGACTAATCTTGTTTGGAAGCATGAGAAGCAGAGAAGATGCCTTTTGTAGGCAAAGGACACAATACTTGGATGCCAGATCAGTTTTCTCCTCAGTCATTGGTGATGTTAATAAACTGTCAATAAAAACAGCAACTTGAGGTGAAGATCTTCTTAGGTAGCCGAAGCATCTTCAGTTGCACTTCTCTTAATTATTAGTATTACTAATGCTGTTTATAGCATGCCTCAGTGTAGCATGGTATGCATTTTATACCATAAAACCTGAGACTCAGGGTCACTTCAAGTTTAGATTTCCTACATGGAAGTAACTTCAGTGTAGGTGAAAGTGGGTGTAGATCTGCACAGGGTTTTCGTATCCTTTCCCATATGGAAGTGCTTGCTGAGGAGGGACTCTGTGATCAAGCACATGCATTGAATGCAGAAGGTCCCAGGTTCAGTTCCTGGCATTTTCCATTAAAAGGATCAAGTAGCAGCTGATGGGATAGGCCTCTGCCTGAATAGCCTGCCGATCAGAGAAGGCAACATTTGTCATAATGGACAAATGTTCATAAGGTCGCTACCTATGTTTTTATAGGAAAAATATTTTTTGAAATGGTCCTGAGGAATTGCTGATTACCACTTATTAGAGAGCTGTTGAACCCATTCATAGGCAATTACTGATCCTCATACTATATAACGTTGTGGAAGGTTGTGTCATTTTTCTTTATTTCAATTACTCTGTCAATGTAGAAGGTTTATATAGAAAATTTATCCCTTGCAATTGATAATTTTGTCACTGAGAAGAGAGGACTCGGGGCCCATCCAGATTTTCTTTCACACCACAACTTCCAGGCAAAGATCCGTGCTTTAAAACTCCATGTCTGAGTGGGGTTTTCCCCTCCCTCCTGGTGCTTTCTGTGGGGAAACTGCATTTTACTGCTGAATTGGTGCAAATGGCAATCTATGTAAATTGCCATTTGTTCCAATTTAATGGTAAAATGTGGGTTTCCCCACAGAAAGTGTCATAACAACAACAAAAAGACCACTTGAACACAGAGGGTTAAAGCCCAGGTCTGTGCCTAAAAAAATGGCACAGATGGAAGTCTGGATGAGGCCTCAGCTCTTCCCTGTGGATGCCAGGGCTGAATTTTTTCTTCTGTGGATGCTGGAAGATCTTTTGTAGAGTCATCTCATTTATGCGTCAAAATATTCATTTCTTAGATCATCCCTTCCTTCCAACCTGGAGATCAGGCAAGTTGAAGATGGGATTGAAGGCATTTTTGCAGTAACACAGCTGGTGAAGCGTACCCAGTTTGGCCCCTTTGAATCAAAGAGAGTTACCAAACTGGAAAAGGAGCCAGCATTTCCATTAAAGGTACAATGACCATTAAAGGGTTGCTGATAATGTGAAGGCACTAAGAAATGGAGCAAGCAGGCTCTACCATTGTCTGAACGTGTATTTGCTTCATTTGGTTCTTTTTTTAGTTAGCCAATTCATTCATTAATCATTCTCTGCCTCTCTCTCTCTCTCTCTCTCTCTCTCTCTCTCTCTCACACACACACACACACACAGAGTAGCCTTTTCAGTACCAATAGCTAATGCTATAGTGTTTTTGTTTGTATGGCCTGCAGAAATCTTCTGGTTTTAGTTCCGTCTGTTAACTTTCAACATGTGCAGTCAGGCAAGCAAGATGTGCTGGTGTTGGCAGTCCTCATATGGGGGAAGATGGAGTAAGAAATATGGAGCGGACCGGATCCTAGCAGGGCTTGCTTTTTGTACCAAATTTGAAAGGCTCAAAATACTAGCCCGGGTGGCACAGGAATACCGTATTTTTCGCACTATAGGACGCACTTTTTCCCCTCCAAAAATGAAGGGGAAATGTGTGTGCGTCCTATGGTGCGAATGCAGGCTTTTGCTGAAGCCTGGAGAGCGAGAGGGGTCCGTGCGCACCGACCCCTCTCGCTCTCCAGGCTTCAGGAAGCTATCCCAAGTCTTGTAAGCCCGGCGGGATGTCCCGCGGGCTCGCAAGGCTTGCGGGCAGCAGCCTGCACCCAAAAGCTGGGGACAGCGGGGAGGCGCAGAGCCGCCACCCCGCTATTCCCCGACCTGATCTGGAGGCTGGCGGGGGGAGAAGCAAGCCTGCTTCTCCCCCCCAGCCCCACAAGCTCGGGGGATAGGGGGATGGCGAAGCGCCGCCATCCCGCTATTCCCCGACCTGATCTGGAGGCTGGGGGTGGGAGAAGCAAGCCTGCTTCTCCCCCCCCCCACCATCCCACAACCTCCAGATCAGGTCGGGGAACAGCGGGATGGCAGCGCTCCGCCATCCCGCTATTCCCCGACCTGATCTGGAGGCTGGGGGTGGGAGAAGCAAGCCTGCTTCTCCCCCCCACCATCCCCACAACCTCCAGATCAGGTCGGGGAATAGCGGGATGGCGGCGCTCCGCCATCCCGCTATTCCCCAACCTGATCTGGAGGCTGGGGGTGGGAGAAGCAAGCCTGCTTCTCCCCCCCCCACCATCCCCACAACCTCCAGATCAGGTCGGGGAACAGCGGGATGGCAGCGCTCCGCCATCCCGCTATTCCCCGACCTGATCTGGAGGCTGGGGGTGGGAGAAGCAAGCCTGCTTCTCCCCCCCCCCAGCCCCACAACCTCCAGATCAGGTCGTGGAATAGCGGGATGGCGGCGCTCCGCCATCCCGCTATTCCCCGACCTGATCTGGAGGCTGGGGGTGGGAGAAGCAAGCCTGCCTCTCCCCCCCCCCAGCCCCACAACCTCCAGATCAGGTCGTGGAATAGCGGGATGGCGGTGCTCCGCCATCCCGCTATTCCCCGACCTGATCTGGAGGCTGGGGGTGGGAGAAGCAAGCCTGCTTCTCCCCCCCACCAGCCCCACAACCTCCAGGCTTCAGGAGAGCCCCACCGCCAGCCCCACAAGCTCGGGGGACAGCGGGAGAGGCGCAGCGCGCCCTTCCCGCTGTCCCCCGACTTGGCTGGAAGGCTGGCGGGGGGAGAAGCCTGCTCCTCCCCATCGCCAGCCCCGCAAACTCGGGGGACAGCGGGAGAGGCGCAGCGCGCCTTTCCCACTGTCCCCCGACCTGGCTAGAAGGCTGGCGGGGGGAGAAGCCTGCTCCTCCCCGTCGCCAGCCCCGCAAACTCGGGGGACAGCGGGAGAGGCGCAGGGCGCCTTTCCCGCTGTCCCCCGACTTGGCTAGAAGGCTGGCGGGGGGGAGAAGCCTGCTCCTCCCCGTCGCCAGCCCCGCAAACTCGGGGGACAGCGGGAGAGGCGCAGCGCGCCTTTGCCGCTGTCCCCTGACTTGTCTAGAAGGCTGGCGGGGGGAGAAGCCTGCTCCTCCCCGTCGCCAGCCCCGCAAACTCGGGGGACAGCGGGAGAGGCGCAGCGCGCCTTTGCCGCTGTCCCCCGACTTGTCTAGAAGGCTGGCGGGGGGAGAAGCCTGCTCCTCCCCGTCGCCAGCCCCGCAAACTCGGGAGACAGTGGCAGGGGCGCAGCGCGCCCTTCCCGCTGTCCCCCGACTTGGTTAGAAGGCTGGCCCAGCCCCGCAAACTCGGGGGACAGCGGGAGAGGCGCAGTGCGCCTTTGCCGCTGTCCCCCGACTTGTCTAGAAGGCTGGCGGGGGGAGAAGCCTGCTCCTCCCCGTCGCCAGCCCCGCAAACTCGGGAGACAGCGGCAGGGGCGCAGCGCGCCCTTCCCGCTGTCCCCCGACTTGGTTAGAAGGCTGGCCCAGCCCCGCAAACTCGGGGGACAGCGGGAGAGGCGCAGCGCGCCATCCCGCTGTCTCCCGACATGGTTTGGAGGCTGGCGGAAGGCTTCCTCCTCCCCCAGCCCCGCAAGCTCCCAGAGCGATGCCAAAGCTGCGCGCAGCTTCGGCATGGCTCTGGGTCCCGTTCTGGGGGAGGGGGAAGCTCGGGCTTCCCCGCCCCAGCCCCGCGCCTGGCGGGGGGGGGAATAATTTTTTTTGGCCTTTATTTCCCCCCCCCCAAATCTAGGTGCGTCCTATGGACCGGTGCGTCCAATAGTCCGAAAAATACGGTAGTTGGGAGTGCACTGTAAGACTCCTGATTGTTCCTTTGCAGCCGCGACTTTATGCGCCCCACACATTGATGGGGAAGGTTTGCGTTCACCTTGCCTGTATCTGTGAAGTCAGGGGTATGAAATAAAAGTCAGACCAGTTCATATTATTACATTACCACTTACCACAGTAGTATGGAAGCCAGATTCTTCCTCTCACGCCGTTACAGTAATGTCTAAATGCAGGGACCACGTGGGCAGGTCATACTATAGTAACAAAAATGCACCCTTGTCTATGGCTATTTATTTATTAGTTGATCATCACTGCAAAGTTTGCATTCCCTCTTTGCATGGGTGTCTATTAGGTTTTTCAGAAGGATGGACCTCTAGTGTATTTTGATACATCTAATGAAGATGATTGCAACTGGATGATGATGGTGAGGCCAGCCAACCAATACGAACACCAGAACCTGTCTGCCTTCCAGCATGATAATGACATTTACTTCACTACATCCCGGGACATCCCACCAGGCACGGAGTTACGAGTGTGGTACGCTGCTTTCTATGCCAAAAAAATGGAAAAGCCCGTTCTAAAGCAAGTTTCTAGCATTGCCAATGGTACGTTGCGTTGCTTCATGGATGGGTGGCGGGTAGTTTTTTTAACTATCTCAAAACAATGTTCCCACTTTCTCTGTGAGGCTTATTCCATGCAAACATCTCCCTCACATGAAAAGAAATTGATAGAATCTATGTCCTGATTCGTATTATTTGTTACATGTAATGGAATGCTCCCTCTGATTGATATTTTCTACTTTTAAATATAAAACAGCTTCCAAGGATCTAAGTTTCAGCAGAGGCACACCAGGCATTGTAACAGCAATGTTACAATGTGGTTAGTAGGAAAATAAACTAATGCAAATAAACTAATGCAAAATAAACTAATGCAAACATTATTTCTCTGATAGACGTTTGTTTAGTAGTGATGGAATGTGACCAAGAAGAAAACAAAACTACTTCGAAGCCTCCCTGTTCCAGTGGCACTTATTCTCTCAAAAAATTAAAATTCCCCCGTTCTAAACTTTCAGGTATGGAAACTCCGGTTCTTGTTGTGTGAACACTATATAGCCAAATCACCTGTTAGAGCTGAGCTTTCCAAACTTTTCATGTCGCTGACACGTTTTTTAGACATACATCATTTTGTGACACAGTAATTCAGTTTTGCTAGCAAACTGAATGTTAAACTAACCCCTTTCCAGCCCCGGGAGGAGTGTGGGGAGAATTCACACAACACACATACACACTGCAGCCAACACACTAATGTGTTGTGACACACAGTTGGGAAAGCTCAGTATTAGAGAAAAATCTGATGGCGTATGATAGGGTTTGAGGTGGAACTGATCTCTGATGGGTATTGAAGGAAAGGTTTAAACCTGATATTTTGAATGTCTAGACTGGGGTTGGGTGAGATGGGGGCTGTGGCCTTCCAAATGTTACTGCATCACATTTCCCATCACCCCTGATGACTGGCCATGCTGCCTGGGGCTCATGGAAGATGGGGTTACTAACAACATCCAGAGGACCACAGGCTTCCCATCCCTAGTCTACAGTTTGCCGCTCAGTTTGTTTAAGATACCAAGCCCCTAATTTTTGTTTGTTGTGATATAGTGAGCTCGCTAGAAAGTAGTGAGCCGCTGAAGCAGAGTCCAGCCAGTTGCCATTTTAGAGCAGAGGTGGGAAACCCGTGGTCCTCTATATGTTGTCTGGCTCCATTTCCCCATCCATGTGCCAGTGTTTTTGAAAGCTTTCCAAGAATCCCAGCTGCTGATGAGCAAAAGGGAGGCACTGTTAAGATCCACAACTCCACAGGCGTAATTTTTAAAGGTTGAATGTGCTTACAGCTACAGTGGTTTGGCTTGTGTTTTCTAAAGAGAGCATTTGATAAGTTCATTTATTTGCCTCTTTAGACAGGGGTGGGGAACCTCGGGCCCAGGGACCACATGTGGCCCTCCAGAGCTCTCTGCCTGGCCCCTGGGGCTCTCCTCAGGTCACACCTTTAGCAGACCTGCTCCAGCCCCTCATCATGTGCTTTGACTGGCAGGAATTTGACCTTGAACGGTGATAATCCTTCCAGTTGAAAGCACTATCGATATGAAGGTTTGTACTATGGCATGAGGGTCTGCTCTCCTCAAAAAGGGTAAAAAGTCACCAGTTTTGTCACAACTTTGTACAGAGGTTGTGTTTGGAATATTGTTGTCTCATCGCTCTTCCCTTGCAGAGCATCGCCGGAGTCACTTGGAGCAAGCCAAAGGAGCTCCACAGAGCAACCAAAAAGATGCAGTTGCTGAAAAGGTTATGGAGGCCCCCACTGCAGACCCGCCTGTAGCCCGTGAAAGTGCCAACACCGCAGTGGAAGGGAAAAGAAAACCACGAAGGGGCAGGAAGCCCAAAGTGGCAAGACCAGAAACTCCCATTGTGATTGTGGACAATAAAGAGTCTTCTGGTGAGCCCAGAAACTACTAGAAGTACCTATCATTGATACTTCATTTCATACCCTAAATCAGGGGTGGGGAAAACTTTTCACCCAGTGGGCCAGATGGTCATGTTCGCCCCCCCTCCCTCAGGCCAAGCTTGACAGGTAGACCTAGCTGCCCACCTGCCATGTGAATCCAGTCACAGTAGCATCTGGTGAGCTTTTTGCCTGCAGGACGCCCTTCAAAGTGCTACCCCCCCAAGCAATTCATATGGGGCTTTATAGGCTGATTGGTGGCATCTGCAAATACCCTTGCAGCTGAGGCAAGTTTTTACCTGTCCTACACCTGACATCATCTATGATATGGGTGGGCATGATGTGGCCAAAATAGCCTTACAGGTGGGTCTAATTAGGCCAATGGGCCACTGATACCCTAAGCCACTGATGGCCAAACTTGGCCCTCCAGCTGTTTGGGGACTACAGTTCCCATCATCCCTGACCACTGGTTAGCTAGGGATGATGGGAGTTGTAGCCCAAAAACAGCTGGAGGGCCAAGTTTGGCCAACACTGCCCTAAGCGAATTACTTTGCATGACCAACTGCTTTGTTTTATGGGCAGAGGGCATGAAGAAGCTGAATTTTCCATTTTATGACGTATTTGCATTGGGGAACTAAATTTATTAAGAAGTGGTATATCACAGCACGTGAGCATATTGAAGTGCCTTGTACTGAGCCATCTAGTCTGGTATTACCTTCTCTGTCTAACTCTGGCTCACTGAGGCAGGTGTGGGAAACTTTTGGCTTTCCAGATGTGGCCGAACTGTTGCCCTAGTCATTGTCTTCGGCTTAACATAGTCATTGTCTTTGGCATTAAGCTCAGTATCTTGTATGGCTGTATATTTAGGGTTCATAACTGAGTGGCCTTTCTTGATAACAATGAATTCATTTGACAGAGGAACATGTTGCTGAAATTATAACGGAGATTCCACCTGATGACGTAGCTCTTCCTCCTACAGAAGAAGCAAGGTTTATGGAGGTGGTGTTAGCGAAGATACCCAGTACTGCAAACAGTAGGAATTCTATAGCGAAGTAAGTCCCTCCAGAAAAGGCAAATGCTAAAATATTCTGTTTCCTCATTATAAAGGACCAGTGCATGTTCATTATTTTAATATGAAAGAGGTATGAAAGATTCGGAGGTTGAGGGGGGAAACAATGCAGTGTTGAATCTAGTTTTACTTTTCCATTTGAATCTAATCTTGCTCTTCCATGAATGGAAAGGCTCCTTCTATTTGTAGATGTGACTCAAATTCAGCAGGAATTCCAGCTAGAAGAGGGTTTGGTGATTTTCTCTATCTTCTCTCTAGCCATCCCTTCCCTACCATACTGTTCTAAGGGTTCCACAACCTTTTGGAGTAGATTTTGAGAAGGTATATGGGGTTAAAGAACAAAATAGGAATCCTAACCATACATGACCTTCCACTCTCAGCAATTCTGATCCCACCGGAAAAGCTTTATTATCTTGGACATAATGAAACATTAAGTGTTTCAGATTTTAAAAAGTGATCATTTGCAATAACATAAGCAAACCGAAACTCTGCTTAATTGAAGGAAAATATAAAAATACAATTTGGGGGGGGTAGTCTTATACATGGGGCAATCTCTCCCCCATTTTCTTAATTTTGAGTCCCCCCGTGTCTTATACACGGAAAAATACGGTAATTGGTTTTATTTTAGATAATTCCCTTGAGCAAGTGTACATAGTGGTAGTTCATATGAGGGAGAGGTGGACCTTGAGGTATTTCAGTCCTGAGACAATATTGCTTCTAGGGTGTGTATGGCAGATCATCTCTTTGAAAGAGCCCCCATGGAAAGCTAACACAGCAGAGAGGAGCTTCACGTGTAGGGAGCTCCTGCTATAGGATGCGTCCAACCAACATAATTGAAGTGCTGGCCAGTGAGAGGACTATGCCAGCACCCTGTCCTGTTCCAAAGGGTTGCTAATAAATGAATCCTACAGTATGCTGACTGTACGAGAAGAGATACGATAAATAGTAACAGGATGCTGAGATGGTGTTTGCACAGAGCGGTGAACTGCTTCGTTGTTACCTGCCTCTTTCTTTCCAATCGGGCAGGTTTTCTCACCATCAAAGCTCCATGTCCCTCAAGAGGAGCTTGCTCCTGTCCAGCCGACATGGGATGCGGCGCAAGATGATCAAGCAACTTGGGGAACACAAGCGCGTCTATCAGTGTAACATCTGCAGCAAGATGTTCCAGAACAGCAGCAATCTCAGCAGGCACATCCGCTCTCATGGTGGGTTCAGTGGGGTCACCTGGTTTTGTTTTCAGAGCTCCCACAACACATTGCTGTAGTGGAAGAGAGCTCTCCAAACTAGCAGAAAAACAAAATTAAATGAAGTTTTATATGATGGGACATTGAAGCAGTACCTAAGAAGTAGGGCTGCAGATTTTCACCCATTAGGGTAGCAGTTTAGTGAGAGTTTTCCAAAGTCAAGGGGAATCTCCTGTCCCTTGAAACATGTAAGCCAGAAGGGATGGATGACTAAGGGCAGTTAATATTACACAAAAATTGTAATGGGTTTCGTTTGATGTGTCTTTCTTCAGGGAAACACTTCTTTTTCAGCGATCCAGTGTTTAAACTTCAGTTTAGCATTGATGGAGTGATTTGAGATACTGCAACAGAAGATAGGTGCAAGTCATGCTCAGTAGTGCACAAAACATAACTGATGACTCAGCTGCTTCACCCATGTTGCAATTTTGGTGGTGGTTCATCCTCCAGATGTGCCATTATAATGCTGTGCCATTCACCCACGGCTAGTTTTAAGCCAGCAGGGCTGCTCCCCATCCATGGGCTACTCTGTCAATTTAGAAACATGGGTGGAAATTGACAAACAACTTCAGTTAGTATGAAGTGATGCTTGACCAAGCAGCTGTGATAACAACTGATGCAATGCATTCCACATCCTTGATATATAGAAATGTTTGGTCCCCCCCCCCATAAGAGGACATGTAAAAATGAGCCAGTGTCATGTGGTTATAGTGTTGGACTCTAGGATGTGGGAGATCGGTATTCAAATTCCCACTCAGCTGTGAAGCTCACTGGGTGATATTGGGCCAGTCATTAACTTTCAGCTTAGCTTATCATACAGGGTTGTGAGGATAAAATAGGGAGGAAAACCATGTACAACATTTTGAGCTCCTTGGAGAGAAAAATGGGACATAAATGTAATAATGAACACATAAATAGAAGTGTCTTATATTACATTTTTAACATCCAGCCTACAATCCTGTACATGTCTGCTCAGAAGTAAGCCCCATTGAGCACACTGAGTGTTTTAATGATTGGAGCCTCTGTATTCATGAAATTCCTGTCTTTTTCTTTTTGGGGTAATGCGTTTTTCTTTAAAATGTATAATTCTGAAGTAGTCTATATTTTTTCCAGTTCCTTTGAAAAAGAGTTGCCTGACCCAAAATGTCGTAGTTATATTTAGATTATCATTTATTAAATTAAATGTGCATATGAACAGGTGGTATTTGATGAAGGTTTACTCAGAGTAGACACATCAGAATTATCACATCAGGACCTAATTTAGTTGTGTTCACTAATTTCCATGGGTCTCGTCTGAGTAGAACTTAGTTGACCGCCACCCAAAAGTTTTGGAACGTATGGTATCACGTCCTCTCTCTGCTCCTGTACCAAGTTCTTTGCTAAGCCCCTTTGCTGCCAAATCTTTCCATAATGTCTGAAGTTGCTTCATAAGTTACATTTGTATGGGGGAACCAATTCATAGGCAGAATGCTCATGAGTAGTGCCCAGAGAAAGAACAGGCCCATATGTAGATTTTCAGGAATACATTAGGCTTTTAAAAACCATATACAGTATGATGTGCATGCATTTTGTATTCAATCATAGGTTCCTATAGCATATTAATTGTTCCTGGAGCCCTAACTGCATAGAATATTGTGCTAAATGTTCCATTTGTCTTTTCCAGGTGTGGTTGTTTTTTTTACACTTCAGTGATATAAGTGATCTAGCACTTTTCTTCTCTATTAAGCATGAAATAGTATACTAAACACTGTCATTTTTCCTACTGGGAGCAGCCCAGATGCAAATTTGGGACTGCGTGATAGCTATTTGGTCCCAAGTTAACTGAATATTTGATACATTTTATTTTAGTGCTGCTAGTTATTCCTGAATTTTTCTAGATGGATAAACAGGTGACTGAACTCTGACTTGTTCTGATTAATCCCTTAGGTGACAAATTGTTTAAGTGTGAAGAATGTGCCAAGCTTTTCAGTCGAAAAGAGAGTTTGAAGCAGCATGTTTCATACAAGCACAGTAGGAATGAGGTTTGTATGGGTCTCCATCAGCAAGCCGTTGTGGGATGAAAGTGGGTTACACACCATGGTAGGCAGGCAAGGTCTGCAGATCTCAGAATGGGCCTTCTCCTACCTGTAGGTATTTTGTTTGTAGAAAAATCTGGTGCCTTTACTTGTGCAAAAGCTTAAGAGCCTCAGAAATTACCATAGAAACCTCTCCTATAATTTATCAGTGTTTAGGTTTTCTGGGGTTTTTTTTGTGGGAGGGGTGACAGCTCTGTTGGGGAAACAAATCAAAGAATGTTTTTTGAAAAGTATGAACTTCATATGTTTGGACATATTTATTGTGATTCCTTTTCCGTTTTCCACTTTTTAATCCCCAGGTTGACAATGAATACAGGTACAAGTGTGCTACATGTGAAAAAGCTTTTCGGATAGAGAGTGCGTTAGAATTCCACAACTGCAGAACAGGTATGATAATCAAACCACGTTACCTGAGCCGCATGAAATGGTCTGGAATTGTATTTATCTAGTAAGGAGGGAGCAGTAGAAGTCATCTGGACATTCCGTTTCTATTGCTTATGCAGACAAAACTATAAACTGCTTTTAAAATACCTGGTATACATAAAATAACATTTAAAAACTATCAATAACATGCAGATAAAATCAGCATAACGAGAGAAGTTGAGGATTGGATTCTTCTGCGTATAAGACAGATGTTCTACCACTGAACTGCAGCGCTTCCCATAATCACCATCAAATGCGTGTGCAGGATGGAGTGCTGTATCAGTACAGTATCCAAATTATTGTAGGGAATCACTATGCTGATCCACCACACTGGCCCACCAAGGTGGCTCAGCACAGAACCATCTACATTGATAAGCATCAATTATTTGGTAATATCCAAGTGGTGTTGCAACTGGCATATCAGATGCATATCAGATATGTCCACTCGCTTCACTCAGAAGGCTATTGCTGGTGGCATCAACACAAGCCACAGCAGACATTCTCACAGCAATGCCCTACTTTTGGAGACAAGGGCTTGCGTTTTAAAATGGGCAGTGTAGGATTAGACGAGAGGAAGGTGCTTGTTGGTTTTCAGAGATGGCCCCTGCTTGAGTTGTGCAGCTGGATTCCATGACTTATTCTTAGAAACAACTAAATGGTTTTTAAAAACCGCTTTTACGAAATCTGCCCTTCTTCCCCTTTTTCATGCAGACGACAAGACCTTTCAGTGTGAGATGTGCTTCAGGTTCTTTTCCACAAACAGCAACCTCTCAAAACACAAAAAGAAACACGGGGACAAGAAATTTGCTTGCGAAATCTGCAACAAGTTGTTCTACCGGAAGGATGTCATGTTAGATCACCAGAGGAGGCACCTGGAAGGTAAGTACATTTGTGATGGATCTTCTTCCTGGACCTTTAATAATTTTTCCCTTTCGCCTATGGTAATCATTTAAAAATTCGACGGAAGAGCTTGAGAGAGGTAAAAAAGGATGAAATAGTAAAACAACTAAAAGAAATAGAGAGAAAACTAATAAAAAATCCTGGAGACGAGAAGACCAAACAACTCGGAAAATTATTACAAACTCAATACTCAACATTGATAAATCAAGAAATAGAATGGGGAATAAAAACGATGAAACAGAAATATTTCGAGTCGGCAAACAAAACAGGTAAGCTACTAGCGTGGCAACTGAGGAAAAGGAAAAAACAAAGAGTGATCAACAAAATTAAATTGCAAGACCAAATAACAGAAGACCCTAACGAGATAAAGGAAAAGTTCCTTCAGTACTATGAAACCCTGTATAAAAAGAAGGAAGATGAGGACATAAATGAGATAGGAAGGTATCTGGAAAGGAGTGGAGGGGAACAACTATTAGAAGAAGAAAAGGCACTCTTAAATAAACCAATAACGGTGGAAGAGGTCAGGATCATGATTAAGAAAATGAAACCGGGGAGGGCTCCAGGCCCGGATGGCCTGTCTCAAAAATACTACAAAACTCTAGAGGAATACCTGGCCCCAGTTTTGTGTAATGTAATTAACAACATTTTACAAGAGGGGGAAATACCTGATTCATGGAGAGAGGCATATATCACGGTAATTCCAAAAACAGACTCAGGTGCGCTCGATATAAAGAACTACAGACCAATATCGCTGCTCAATGAGGATTATAAGATCTTTGCTGGAATAATGGCGAGCAGATTAAAGAAATATTTGAACAGAGCGATCCATAAAGACCAAACCGGATTCCTACCCGGCAGGCAGATAAAGGATAATGTAAGGCACATTATTAATATAATTGAATATTTGGACCTCAGAATTGATATCCCCGCGGCCTTAGTCTTTATAGATGCCGAGAAGGCTTTTGATAATGTATCTTGGCACTTCCTGATAAAGTGTATGGAGAAGGTAGGAATAAGAGGGCCATTTCTAGAAGGTATAAGGTCAATTTACTCAGATCAAAGAGCGAAATTAATCATCAATGGTAACCTGACAAACTCATTTAGTATTACTAAAGGTACAAGACAGGGGTGTCCTTTATCGCCCCTGCTATTTATCCTGGTCCTGGAAGTTATGCTAAACCGGATAAGAGAAACATCGGAAATAAGAGGGATTAGAATAGGTACAAAAAAGTACAAAGTTAAGGCTTATGCCGACGACATAGTAGTCTCAACAGAAGACCCCGAAAAAGGGATTAGTACAGTGATTGAATTAATGGAAGCGTTTGGTAGACTATCTGGCTTTAAATTGAATAGAACTAAAACGAAGATGTTGATGAAAAATGTAGACGAACAACTAAAAAACAAAATCGAGTTGGAATCTGGGATAATGGCAACGAAAAAGGTTAAATATTTGGGTATTTGGATTACTACAAAAAATATAAACCTGGTGGAAGACAACTATAATAGAACCTGGAGAGAGTGTAAAAAGACCTGGACAGCTGGAGTAGATTACAACTTTCTTGGGAGGGGAGAATGGCTGCCATCAAAATGAATATCCTTCCAAAAATGATATTCCTATTCCAAAATATCCCAGTAGTCAGGGGCACGACAATGTTTAAAGACTGGCAGAAGACCCTTTCCAGATTTATCTGGCAGGGTAAAAGGGCCAGAATTAAATACAAGTTGCTTACTGACAGAAGGGAAAGAGGAGGGTTTGCAGTCCCAAACCTACAACTATATTATGAGGCCTCGTGCCTCTGCTGGATCAAGGAATGGATAGTTCTAGACAACACCGACCTTCTGGATTTGGAGGGTTTCAATGCCAGACATGGATGGCATGCGTACCTGTGGCAGGATAAGGGGAAAGTCCATAAAGGATTTTCCAACCACGTTATAAGAGGATCGCTGTTGGAAGTGTGGAATAGGTGCAAAAGATTAGTAGAAAAAGATACTCCTTGGTGGCTGTCACCCGTTGATATTCTAGTAACTAAGAAACTAAACATGGAAGGCAAAAGGTGGACATATGCTGACCTCCTAAGAAGATCAGATAAAGGATGGGAAATTAAACCATACGAAGAACTAAAAGACAAATTAATGGGATGGATACAATACCACCAAATTAACGCTGTCTGGAGGGAACATAAAAAAGCCGGAATGAGCAATAACAAATCTAAATTCCAATTAGAAATAATAGAAGGCAAGTCAAAACTCCTAACTAAAATGTACAATATACTACTAGATTGGGATACAATGGATGAGGAAATCAAAGACGTCATGATCAAGTGGGCTATAGATCTAGGACGCCCCCTAGAATATGAAAGATGGAAAAAACTATGGACTAAAGACATGAAATTTTCGGCTTGCGTCAGACTCCGAGAAAATATGGGAAAGATGATGTACAGGTGGTACATCACCCCAATAAAATTAGTTAAAATGTATAAAACCGGGGAAAAGACGTGCTGGAAATGTAAGAAGAAAGAGGGAGACTTCTTTCATATGTGGTGGTCCTGTGAAGAAGTAAAAAGGTTTTGGGGGTTGGTCTATGATGAGTTAAAAAAGATCTTAAAGTATACATTTCCTAAAAAGCCCGAGGCATTCCTCTTAGGAATGGTGGGAGAAGAAATTAAAAAAGATGACCAAACTTTTTTCCAGTATGCAGCAGTATCCGCAAGGATACTGCTAGCACAAAGTTGGAAAACATCTAATATCCCAATGATCAGTGATTGGCAGAACAAATTAATTGAATACATGGATATAGCATTGATGACTCAGAAGATCAGGCAGCAGAGAAATAATAAATTTACTAAAGATTGGAATAAATTTCTCTCATATATGGAGTCGACTTTAGGAAATGCAAAAATCACAGTTGGTATAATATAAAAACCGCGAGGTAGGAATAGCGATTAGACGAAGACACTGCTGAATATATTGTTAAGCTATGGCTCTCGACGTGGTGGTGGGAAGTCAAAAATGTAACGGATTTGTATAAGGTTTAAGTGTTTAAGCAATAAGGAACTCAAACTTGATTTTGTATATTTTCATTTCTTCTTTATATTTTTTTGTTTGTTATTTGTTTTTATGAATGATGTATATATGTTTTTTAACCGTTGGAATATAATAAAGGCCTTTTTAAAAAATAAAAAAAAAATAAAATAAAATAAAAATTCGACGGATGGCACACTAAGGCTGGTTCTTTTCTTCATTCGTGGTAATGCATTACTGGAATTGAGGTTGAGAAGGCTTTGAACCATCCAAGTGTAGCTAGTTGTCTGACAGGTATGATCTAAATTGTTCATTATTCAGGATGTGATTTAAGGGCTATTCACGATGACCCCCTTTTTACATGAAAAACTCTGGTATGTCCTTTAGTTGCATCTAGATATCTGAACCACAATAGCTGAACCATTGTGCTTGCAGTGGAAATACGGGGTTATAGTGTTGGACTACGACCAGGAAACCCAGGTTCAGATTCCCAGTCAACCAATATACTCACTACTTAACCTTGGGCCAGTCCCTTTCTTAGCCTAACCTGCCTATCAGGATTGTTGTGAGAATAAAACAGCAGAGGTCTTATTTGCTTATTTATTTATACTCTGCCTCTTTCCCTGAATGGACTCAAGGGAGCTCGCAGATTAAAAAAAAGCCAAGAACTGCTAAAAAACATAGAAGAAGGTAGGGTTGTTTTCGCCTCTTTGATCTCCTTGAAGGAAAAAAATGGGATACAGATGCAATAAATAAATAAATAAAATAGATGGCATCCATGAGACAACCAAGGTGCTACCTCTCAGCCCAATATCCATGTTTATGTGCAAACCTAAAATTAAGCAGCACTTCTTACGGACAGGATGTCATTTCCATGCATCGCTGTATTGATTATGGTGTGCATTATTCATAGAAGTAGGAAGCATGGTTTATTCTTTGTTTGTTCTTTTTTTGGTGGGAACTGTTATCTTAAGGAGTGAGGCGTGTGAAAAGAGAGGACTTTGAGCACAGCACAGAGAACATGGTTCGCTACAAGAAAGAACCTTCTGGGTGCCCTGTTTGTGGAAAGGTAGGATTTTCCATTGACTTACATTCGTGGAACTTTTGTTTCAAACCACAGGCATGATCACATACATTTATTTATTTATTTTGTCGTGCTTTTAACACACAACAATTCAGAACGTGTTCTGGATGAGTTCCCAAAAGCCATACAACTATGGCACACTTTTCCAGTCTGTGTAACTGACATGAGGTTAGCAGAGACGGCAAAGTCCACACAGATTACAGTGGTACCTCGGGTTACGAACAGCCCTGCTTATGAATGCTTCGGGTTGCGAACTCCACAAGTGTCCCGGGTTGCGAACTTTGCCCCAGGATACAAACGTAATCTGCTACCAGGGCTGCAGGAGGTCTATGTAGGGAATGCGTGCCTCGGGTTAAGAACGCTTCAGGTTAAGAACGGACTTCCGGAACAAATTAAGTTCGTAACCCGAGGTACCACTGTAATGTTGCACAAGCAACTTGGTGACCTTCTTTCCTTTTTCTTGGATGCTTTTTGATGGGTGATAGTTGAGAGAGAAGCAAAGCAGGAGAAGCTTCCACATGAGCATGGTCCCAGTGGTCTTCTGACAGCCACGGTCAAAGTATCGTGAGATATTGTCTCTTTAAGTCCCACAGGTTGAGCTCCCTGCCCCGCCCCCGCCTCCCAGCATGTGGAATGGTGTGTTGCTATTTAAGAAGCTCCAGCCCATAGTCCCCTTGGGCATGCAGAACTAGATATGCAGTGCTTTGGGTTCTAACCTGTGGCTTGTTCAGCCATCCATTCATTGGTATTATGACCTTATTTGGTCAACTGCTGGCTATTAAGAGCTTTGTTGTTAAGTTGGATGTCATTACTATGGGACAGAACTGACCCTCCTTCCTATGCCAGTGAAAAAAGTGTTGGACCCAGAGTTGAGATATGTGCAGTGCAATCCTGTACACGTTTATTTGGGTGTAAGTCCTAATTAATTCTATGTGGCTTATTCTCACATAAATATTCATAGGATTACTCTGCTAGAATGGTCTTAGTGTAAGACTGCTATGTCCTCGCCCCAACCCTATTTTGCATTGCTTCATAATATTAAAAGGGAAATTAATGGTCATCGTAAGGTTGTTTTGAAAACAATCATAATAAAATGCTGTACAGTGCAATGCACATTAAAAGTAGTGTGAAAATGACAAAAAATAGGAAAACAGATTTAATAAAATCTTAAACTTTGAATATGAGGATTTGGAAAATGAAGTTATAGAGATCAACTGGAAAACTTTGTGGGTAGTACTGTATTAGAATTCAAAGTTTAATTGTTGGGCAGTTCTTGAGCTGGTTTAGTCAGGGAAATAAGTTCTAATCTTGAGTAATGTCACCTAACTTTAGTTCAAAGTATGAGCCAAGGGTATTTTAGATCTTTCACATGTGACAGGAAAACAGAATTCACCTGCTAACATCTTTCTTCCCCTTTAGATATTTTCATGTAGGAGCAATATGAACAAGCACCTCCTGACCCATGGAGATAAGAAATACACCTGTGAGATTTGTGGCCGCAAATTCTTCAGAGTAGATGTGCTCAGAGATCATATTCATGTTCATTTTAAGGTACAATGTTTAACAACCTTGACAGCGCTCAGTATGATTTGATTCAGAACTGGAGCTGAGTAGGGTTACGAGGAAGCTACCAAGGAGAACTGGGAAACCACTGAAAACCGGAGGAAAAGTGGTTTAGCAAGCGATAAAGGCTGAAGGCCAATTTGGAAATCATGAGACCAGCCATGTGGCGTTGGTTGCTTCAGCTTTCCTTAAGAATGAATTATGAGCCATATAATATATTAAGCAGTAATATTCCCATTTAAAGATATTGCTACAAGTATGCAAGAACGTTTAGAATCGGAGAGGAGCTCAGTAGCAGACCGGGGAGAAGGGGCCATTTTTTTCTATCCTCTGTCAATTCAATACGACTAAGGCATGAAGAATAGTTAGTATCTGTTGTTGAAAGAGGGAGCATCATTGAGGGGAAAGCGTGCAGAAGATTCAGCGAATGTCATACCTTAGCAGATTTGGTTTTTTAAAGGTTTGGTTTTTGACACTTAACAGGCAGTAAGGTGTAAGCAAGGTGGTGATATATTTCACTATTTCATGATTTTGCACAAAGCTCAGTCATCTGAAAACAGGCAACAGAACAACAAGCCGTAATTCGGATAGTTCTGGTTGTTATTAATGTAAATTCAGCTGAGAAGCAAGTGAGGCTATTGTTTTTCCTTGTTTTGGAGGACTTAATAGAGACACGATGGCTGTGTCTGCTTAGTTTTTTTGGTCAGACAACATTTTGAGTTTGCACTTCCACTCTGTATAGGACATAGCAATCATGGATGACCACCAGAGAGAAGAGTTCATTGGCAAAATCGGAATATCTTCTGAGGAGAACGATGAAAACTCAGACGGAAGTGTGGATTCCGAGCCTCACAAGTATAGCTGCAAAAGGTGCCAGGTAGTTTTACTCCTTTCAAACATTTTGCGGTGGGAATGGGGTGGGAGAGTTGGGTTGCTAAAAGAAATGTCGAAAATAGTGAAAAGGTGTTCAGGTACGTTCCCTGACCCAGAAATCTGTGTCTCTTCTGGTGTGTTTGTGTATATGGAGCTCTTGTACATGCAGTCAGTAGCATTCATTTCAGCAGCAGCAGGAGAGCTGAACATACACTTGAACATGTGCTGCCTCTGCTGAAATAATCAAGGTAGATGTTGCAAACTGGAAAGCTCCATTTGGGTATTAACAGCCTTCCTGTAAGAAATCACAGGAGCAGCTGTGTGTGGAGGCCGATTGAGAGACAGCTAATCAATAGCTTTAACCCACAAGTATTGGCAGAAGAGAGACATTATTCTCAGATTCACACAGTATCTGTTATTCAAATACATTTAATTTCAGGCAATGTTAGTTAAGCACTTACTTTAAAAAGAAAAAAGTAAGTAGGTTTTCATCACTGTAAGGATATCATGATTTCCTTAAAAAAAAACAACAACACACACACACACCGCTCCATCTTTCTTCATTCCTATGTTAAGGAGTCCTGTCTGTTTACATGTAAAATGTGAGATAGGCCACAGCCACTTCATGCCTGTCTTGTATAAACAGGAGCTGTCTGGTTAATGGTGGAAGAAAGGTGAAATTGTTAATAATATTAGTCTGGTTTCCAGCTCACCTCCTTCCACAGAGGTTTGTGTGAAATTTTGCTGAAACAAGCATCCAATTTCCTTTACATACCCTTTGTTGATAATTCGAGAAGTCCATAGCTAACAAATTGGCTGGCTAAATAAAATCTTATTCCATTGCCTACTCTGCACCTTTCTTCAGTGTCTTTGGATCTGCAATCTTTGCCCCTTTATAGCTTCCCTACCTCCCAGGTGCAGACTTTAGCTATCTCCTGCATGACCTATTAATCCCATCCAAACTTGCAATAGTGCCTTCCCTTTCAGAAATTGGACTGAAAACAGCTTTTGCTCCCTTAGAAACCAAAGATCCTGAGCCATCATATAAACCGCACCAAACAGTGGTATAGTCTTCAGTGCCACATGCAGAAATCAACACAGATACTGTGTCTGATTATTAGCCAGCCTTGTCGTTTATTTCAATGCTGCATTAGCTTGTGGTTACTATTTCCAAAGATTGTCCACCTCTCCCCAGTGTGGTGCATTCACTGTTGTTTCATTCTTCAGTTGACGTTTGGCCGAGGAAAAGAGTACCTGAAACACATTATGGAAGTTCACAAGGAGAAAGGCTATGGCTGTAGCATCTGCAACAGACGCTTTGCCTTGAAGGCAACTTACCATGCGCACATGGTCATTCATCGGGAGAACCTGCCAGACCCCAATGTGCAGAAGTAAGGAGATAAGTCTGACAAAACTAAATCAAGGATTCAGTCTTGCCAGATGGGCATGGGAAAATTACATTGACTTCAGTGGAACCTACACATGAATTAGAGGCAGGACCACAAGCAGAGAATGATTTCTTAGCAATGGTTGTGGAGCCTTAGCAAGGAAGATCAGTCAGAGACAGGCCCGAGGGAAATGATGGACTGTGACAGTGGCCTACTTAAAGTGTGTTTACCTTGCAAAAGTAACTGAATAGTTTTGCACATGTGCTCCTGTTTCCCCTTCTCTATCCTGTGGAGAGGGTGCAGTTTTGAAGTGTGATGCAGTCCCAGGTTAATAATGACCATGGCAGCAAAAGAAGATGGGAGGTACTTGAATGTAATTAGTGAAAGAATATTACGAGTGTGGGAGCACAATGTTCTGCTTCAGACAAGGTCTGTGTGTGTGGCAAGGGGTGAGAGATGAGAGATAGTGTTTCCAGGGCACATATGTCAACTTGACCATACTTTGGATTTGCCCCGGTTTATATCCTATACAGCGAGAAGCTGCAAAGAAAAAGCCCAGCTCAAGAAACTGCTAAGACAGTGGGCATTGCATGGACTTAGCACTAAATCAAAGTTTAGCATTAAGATGAGACATAGAAGGGAATAATGTAAAAGCTTTCATTTATGTTTTGGACTGGATGACATAGCAAACTGGCCAAACCCAGATCAACTGTTGCTATTCTTAACTATGGTTTGCTGTAACAAGCCAACTTCAAGTCACAATGTAAGAAGCTGACTTCTTAATACAATTTAGTGTTGGGATATAATGCTATAGTGTGATTAGTCTTAAATGGAAGCTGCTGATCTCCTTCTGATTCACAATAGTGAGAGAGCATGCAAGCCCAAGGCTGACTGCCTTTGTAACACTAAAGCATAGCATGATGTCGAAATCAAGCCATGTAGTTTAAAAAAGAAAAGAAAGGTATAATGCTGTTTAAATATTTCTAGATGGATAAGTCAATACAGTATTTTTTATATACTTACAAGAAAAGTTTTTTAAAAAACTGTAAAGCCATGCATAACATTAAAAATCCTAAGCACTTGTAACACATTACAAGTGTTCACTTGTAATGCACAGAAATTTTAAAATCGGTATTCCTGAACCCATGAGCTAATGCAGGGACTATTGTCTAGCTAGAGAGACAAATGTAGCTTGGTTTTCTACATCCCTCAAAAGTGTAGTGTTGCTCTATTAATGAACTGTTTCAAATAATTTTGTTCTTCAAATAAAAGTACACCTTTGAGATCATAGATTTTCAATTAATTAGAAAAAAGGATGTCTCTAGCTGATTTTTATTTCCTATTTTAGATATATCCATCCATGTGAAATCTGTGGAAGGATTTTTAACAGCATAGGGAATTTAGAACGACATAAACTTATTCATACAGGTAGACTCATTTTATTACTGTTCTTTTAATAACAAATATTTTTCTTGTGCTGTTTTTTAAATTTCATAATTGAATCCTATTTGTTGGGAACATAGATTGTGATGGGTTAATTATGTGCTGAGAAAACTCTGCACTAAAAATTGCCCCCAAAATAGCTTTTTTCTTTTGAGGGTGGGGAGATGGGGGGGTGATTCATCAGCATACAGAAAGTGTCCGTCATTACATCAGGTGCAGCTCATGAAGTCTATAGAACCAATGCAATTTGCTGAGCATTGTACAGTCCATTGTGCTCTGGGTGCCTCTTCTCATATTCCCCTGGCCTCTCTTTTTTGACTCTGTGCACTTGCTGTCCACCTGGCAAGGAGGAGTGATGAGCCTGCAAGTGCTTATCATTGAAACACACAGCTCTGCCTTGTGGGTAGACAAGTCAAATGGGATGTTCTTTCTCGTTAGGAGAGGACATATTTCTCATTCACAGTTTCATGTAGCCTCAAACTCAAGTGCAATTCAGTTGCATCGCTTAATTTTGTAATGCCCTCAGTCATTATATCAAGCTCCCCCCCCCCACTGTCTCTTGTCCCCTCTCCTCTGCTTCCTTGTTGCCTCTTTGATTTGCATTCACAACTCTTTTTAGAGTTTCCGTATACAGTTTCTCCATGTATCTTTTCTCTGTTTCTATCTCGTTCCACATCAGTTCGTAAAACCCTTTTATTTTGAGAGTGGGAGGGACGACTGCCGAAAGGGTTGACTTCATTTTTACCTGCACGCAAAACCTAACGTTCCCCACCCCACCCCAGTCCCCTTCAAATAACAATTTGTTTTGTTTTATTTTTAAGGTGTGAAAAATCATGCCTGTGAACAGTGCGGTAAGTCATTTGCAAGGAAGGACATGCTGAAAGAGCACATGAGAGTCCATGATAATATTCGAGAATATCTGTGCGCAGAATGTGGCAAAGGTATGAAATGTCCCTTTTATATCCCTAAGTAAACGGTATGTGCTAAAAAAATGGTTATTTCAGAATATGAATCTCCCTTGATAATCAGAGTGATTCCTTACAAATGACTGGAATCATTCTTTTTACGTTTATACTGTACTGATCAGGAATCTGGGGTGCTTAATGTTTGTTTAATTCTTCATGAGAAGTTGCTCTGTCGCAAAGCACATCTCATTACTGAGTCTTCCATATGCGTGCCCGGCTGATGTGGCACTGCAGGACTGTGGGTACTGTACTGGCTTTTTCTTCATTGGTTGTGAACATGCTTCATTAAGGATGTGAACGCTATACTGAGCCAGACCATTGCTCTGACTAGCCCAGTATTTTCTACAGTCACTGCCTTGCAGCAATTCTCCAGTGTTTCAGGTAGAGGACATTGCCAGCTGTATGTGGAAAGGCCAAAGAATAGAACCTGGGATCTTTTCCATACAAACCTGACACTCACAAATCAGGGATGTTATAACTGCACCTAAGATGCAGCAGGAAATTTACTCCTTATAGGAGTACTGGGTGTGAGTTCAAATCCCCACCCAGCTATGAAGCGTACTGGGCAAGTCACTGTCTCTTAACCTACGCTACCCTACAGGGTGGCTGTGTGGGCTGAAGGGAGCTGTCCTGAATTTTGTAGAGGAAACGTAGGATACAAATGTAGTTCTTAAAAGTAATGACAGAATTGGCTGTGAATAAGAGGCTTAAGTGTCTTTTAAGACTTATTGCAGAGGAAGTCCCGTTGATTTTGTTGGATCTTGTTTCTAAGTGTTTCAATTAATCAGTGAATAATTTAAAATATTTGCATCCCACCTCATCCTACATGCAGGATGGTTTTAAATCCCCACTTAAAACAAACACCTGTATCGATGCCGTCTTATTTAAAACACCTGTAACTTCCAGTATTTGCATGCTTGTGTTTTCTACAGCTGCTTGCTCTGCAGGCCCCTTTCTGCTATAACACATGTTGTCTGGTTGGCACGATTCAGTGTGTAAACGTTCCTGCCTTGCAGCAGTGGGATTAAACAGGACAGCCTTTTGCCCTCTTGCCATTCTGTGGTGGCTTTCCGCTTCACTTGAATTCCAAGAGCTGCCTTAAACGTTGTGAATTACCTCTTAGGCTTTTCAAAGACAGCAGCTGAATGAACAGGATTCTTTAAATAAATAAACTGGCACGCACGTGCATGCTGAGCCTCACCATTCCCAATAAAGAGCCTTTCAGAGATCTTTCATTGCCCTTTTTCATGGGTCTCTTGAAGCTTTTGGGTGAATTGTTTTCTGAAATAGACCATGGTTCAGCCAACTGGTACAGTCTCTTCAAGTTTCCTTAGAGGTGGCCATTGGCTTTGGAACATTCTCATGCAGAGTTTTTTCCTTTGCATGCCTCTCACGCAGAGGGTGTTGAAAGGGCTTCCCCACCATGTTTAAACCTTGACTTTATCCATTACAGGCATGAAAACAAAACACGCCTTGCGGCACCACATGAAGCTTCACAAAGGGATAAAGGAGTACGAATGTATGGAGTGTCATCGGAAGTTTGCACAGAAAGTCAACATGCTGAAGCACTACAAAAGGCACACAGGTGAGCACCACGGAGAGGAGGAACTCCACAGCCCTTGCACAGGGCAAGATAAATTGCCTGAGAGTCAATGGGGCCTACAGACCTGCTGCTCTGTAATACAGTACAGTGATGTCAGTTACTTCTTACAGCACCAGTCTTATGCATGTGTCCCCAGGACTAAGTAGCTACAGCTGCATTTGAAGGATGTTGCTTGCTGCTAAAGAAGAGGGTGTCAGGTTGCAGTTTTACTTGCCCTAGACCCTTTATCAAATTTCCAGGTCTCTGTGGAGGGTGTGCAAATGTGTATTACAGGCACACATATAGGTGTTGACTGAGGTTAATACCATTAGACCTTTTTAAAAAACAACAATACAAAATATACCCAGGTAATTTTGTCCATAGCTATTTATGGTTAATATAGCTAGGAAGCTAGAGGAAGATGCCTGCATTTTTGAAACATATGAAGAGGGGGGAAACTCATTGTGCGACTATGTAGTCTTTTGTCAATAAATTCCATTTTGCTTATTTCTACTTTTAAGGGCTCCTTGATTTCATGAATACAGTCGTGCCTTGGTTCTCACCTCTGTGCAAATGTTAAGAAGTTTGGGGAACCAGATGGAGCCCTGCATAAATGCCAGAGGGTTAATAAGTCCTGACCCCCTCCCCCAGCACTGCCTGGAATCTGCTCTCCATTTAGCATTTACTACACTGCTTAGCTTAGCAAACACCAGCATGACTTTGGGCCTAAAGGAACAATTAATTGGCCATTCCTTTTGTAGCACACAATTTCACATTTGCCATAAGGAACTGTGGGTAGTTATCATTTTGGTACTTAACCTAGTTTCTAATTAGCAGGAATCAAAGATTTCATGTGTGAGCTCTGTGGGAAGACGTTTAGTGAGAGGAATACAATGGAGACTCATAAGCTCATTCACACAGGTAATGTTTGGCTGGAACTCTATGCCACTGGTTCTAAAAGTACCTTTACAAAGATAAATGCTAAGACTCTAGGTCAGCGTTTCCCAAACTTGGGTCCCCAGCTGTTTTGGGATTACAGTTTCTATCATCCCTCACCACTGGTCCTGCTAGCTAGGGATGATGGGAGCTGTAGTCCAGAAACAGCAGAAGACTGATCTCATTGCTTACTATTCCGCCCTGCTCTGCCTCCCAAAACCCATGTGTGCATAGATCTGCCAACTTGGGACAAGCCTTGATACATCTGATGGGGTGGTCTCTAGTCCATGAGAGTTTATGCCATAATAGACCTGTTAGTCTTGAAGGTGCCACAAGACTTCTTTTTGTTTCATCCGTATGACAGCAAATCTAAAAAAACTCTCATGTCAGCTATTTGACAGCATTCAGACTTTGAGGGAGAGCTGAGCCACGTTCCCTCATCTGCAGTAAACCACATTGGTTCAGTGCTGTCAGGTTTGCTAAGGTTAGTAATATCAGATCCTGTCAGCCCCTGATCTCAGAAGGCAAATGCAGCCTGATTGTTGTCCCCAGACACCCAGGTGTCACATTTCCATGGAATTCATCACTCTGCTTTAAATTCCAGTCCACCCTAATTAGGATGTAAGTGTCTCCCAATTATACAAATATAAAATACTTCCTCCAGGTTCCATACCATGTAGCTCTTTAAAAAATGGAAAACCTGTAGTTGAAATGTTGAAATATTAAGATGCCCTACCTGAAAATTAATGCTCAACTTCTTGTTTTACTTGCTACTACTAGTGGGAAAGCAATGGACTTGCTCAGTGTGTGATAAAAAGTACGTCACAGAGTACATGCTTCAGAAGCACATTCAGCTAACTCACGACAAGGTAGAAGCGCAGAGTTGTCAGCTCTGTGGGACGAAGGTTTCCACCAGAGCTTCAATGAGTCGTCACATGAGGCGAAAACACCCAGAGGTGAGTTTGATGACAGATGAAGAGTTCGTGATTTTTGCTGACTTCCTGGGGAGACGCATCCTTTGCATGTTACCTTGCTCTGAATTTTTAATTTTTGTGCAGCTTTGTTGTGACGGCTGCCAACACTTGCTTTTCACATCTTAGGAATGTGAATTCTTAGTACAGCACGCGCCACTTATTATATCCACGGTTGAAGGACCCAAAAGGTAGCTAGCCTTCGTTGAGCTGATAGAGTGACTAGCCAGATTTGAATGGCCGTATAAAATGTAATATAAAATATGCATACATATATGATATAAAACATAATATAAAACAAACCAATCTGCCTGTTACATATAAGCGTAACTGTTCCTTATACGCAATTGCAGGGTAATACTACTATAAATATGTTATTCCTTAATATAAATATTGTTTTCCAGGTGCTTTCAGTTAGAATTGATGACTTGGAGCAGCTCTCAGAAACCACAACTGTTGATGCTTCATCCATAGGAATTGTACAGGTAAATGCAAGTGTAGCCTAATATTAACTCTCTTGTTACCTTCAGTCCTTATTTGGGCATTCAAAGTACCCATGTGCCAGCTCCACCCCCCAGTATCCCCACTTGTGCCAGCTTCAGCCCTGACCTTCCTGCATTTACTGGGAAAGGTCTGAAGGGAGATTCCAAGCACATTCAGCTGAATGCACTCAGAAGCCTTCAGGAAAAGGTTCCCCACCCTTGGACTTAAGCCCACTTTATCAGGTGCATAAAATGTTGTCCTCAGTTGCCAGATACACATCAGTACAGAAGGGGAAAAGAAAAAGGGTGCTGGAAGGCTATGAAATGCAAGAGGTACAGCCTGACATTTCTGTATAAAGCTCAAATCTATACAAAATAAGTACACTGACCATTCACAACATCAGGAATAGCACAAATCTTCCTGCCTTTGCTGCACTAATAAACATGTGTAGCATGAAAGGAAACCAGAGTCTCTGTTGAGTCCTCGACAAATCAAATCAAACTTACTGATAGTTTTTTAATTCAGCAGTTTTGAACAGGAATTTCTCCTGATGTTGAAGTGTTGAATTCAGTGACATTGTGCTTTCATTGAAAACTCCCCTTACAGTCAGACCTAGCCCTGGAACCAGGAGAGTTACCGGAAGGCAAGCATATGAAGGTTCATAAACGTGGTCATAAACGAAAGCATAAGCCCGATGAAGAGGAAGAAACCCAAGTGCCTGAGGATTCTGCCTTCAGTGAATACACAGAAAAAGAAGTGGAATTCACAGGGAATGTGGGAGATGAGACCAATTCAGCTGTGCAAAGCATTCAGCAGGTGAGAGTGCCCTTTACCAAGGAATCGGAAGAAGGTGGTAATTACAACAAAAAGTGGCTTTATATCCTAGGAATATTATTTAAGGCATTTTAATGTATGGATGGATTTTTTTCAGTAGGTGAATTTTTGGAAAGCTCACCAGTACAATATGCAGGGGAGAGGAAGGAAGAGGTCCCTGGTGGCTGAAATCCCCTGAAAATTCATTATGCCTCTGTATGCAGAGTCACTGTCAGTTGCTAAATTCATTTCTATGTGAGCAAATATTCGGTTGCGTTCTGGGGATGTCTGCTAAGGCACCAATTAGATCAAACATCTCTCATGGTGCAAACACTGATTACCTCATTGTTTTGGGAGAATAGACTTTGCCCCAACCACACTAGACCTTTCAATGCAACCACTTTCTTTCTTCAGTAGGAATGAATACAACCAGTAGCCTGGGAAATCCAGGCCTCTCTTCTTTGTTTTGTAGGGTTGCGATACGTCCGGGAATCGGACAGCATTTTGGTGTTTGGGGGGATTTTCGCGAAATCGGAAAAACGACTGAGGAAACCCAGGTGTATGGCAAGGGGGGGCCTTTTGTTTTTTTTTTAAAAATCATTAAAAATCTCCCAAAGCCCCAGAACTTATGGCAACTGTATTGTTTTGCCCTGCAGTCAGCATAGCCTTGCTCATCTCTTGGCCAGGTAACTATGACCAACTTAGCTTGATGGTGAGATAAAAGTGAAGTATTTTGTTCTGAAAAGTAATTTCAATTTCAAAAGATACTAGAGATGAACTATTGCAATGGGAGGGGGATCAGAAATGCCATCACCACATACCAGAGTTAAAGAAATCCTGATTTTTCTAATCTGTGAGAATTTTGCCCTCAATTTGGGGAACTCTACTGAAACTATTGCCTGAATCTCCAGTAGTGGTGATCACCTTTGATGGAAATTAATTTAATAATAATAATAATGTATTATTTATATCCCACCCATCTGGCTGGGTTTCCCCAGCCACTCTGGGCGGCTTCCAACAGGATATTAAAAATTCAATAAAATAATAATAATAATAATAAACATCAAACATTAAGAACTTCTTTAAACAGGGCTGCCATCAGATGTCTTCTAAAAGTCAAATAGCTTTTTATTTCCTTGACATCTGATGGGAGGGTGTTCCACAGGGTGGGCGCCACTATGTATGATCTAAATCCATGAAGTTTATCACTGTTTGCTTTCAACTCTGTAATATAACAACAGATATAGTATGAGGGTTGGAAGGACCCTGCTACAGCCTTCCCCAACATTGTGCCCTTCATATGTTTTGGACCACAGCACCCATCAGACGCGGCCACTGGCCATGCAGGCTGGGCTGATGAGAGCTGCAGTCCAAAGTATCTGGAGGCCACCAGCTTGCAGGGGAAAGCTATTCTTATTATAGTGAAAATAATGACAATATATTTCACATCTTGCAACTATTGGTATCAGATACTACATGGGTAGTCCAAAAAACCCAGGACACAATTTTCCACAGCCGTCTAGCTGCTATGGTGGCTCATTTACCAGAATTAATGTATTTAGCATTAATTCTGGAAGAGTATACTCGATTCTGCCCAAACTAAGTCTCCTGGAGCTAGAAAAGGCCTGTTCTTGTGTTGCCAACCTCCAGACCTCCCATGGAGAAGACACATGAAGAAGTCCTCAGGTGCTGATCACTGAGTCTGGGTTAGTTTATATCAGGCACATCCAACTCCCAAGAGACTGAGATCTACTCACAGTATAAAAAGAGTTGTTGAGCTTTTTTAGGGGAAGATTGATCAAAGTTGTTGAGCTTTTGGGGGGAATCTAAAAAAAATTTGATACCACAATCGACCGAGACCACCATGATCAACTGGTAGGTCGTGATCAACCTATTGGACATGCCTGCTTTATATGATACATGTGTTCCCATCATGCCATCGACAGGCAAAAAAGAGAGGCAGCAAAGTTGACTGTTCCTCACAGCATGCATTTCTAGTAAAAACAATCACTACAGATAACTCTGAATTTCTCTTTTTTCAGGTGGTGGTGACTCTCGGAGACCCAAATGTCACAGCCCCTTCTAGCTCTGTTGGCCTGACCAATATTAGTGTTACCCCCATCACTACACCAGCTGGAACCCAGTTTACAAACTTGCAGCCTGTGGCTGTGGGCCACCTGGCCACTCCCGAGCGCCAGTTGCAGCTAGACAATTCCATCCTCACCGTGACGTTCGATACAGTCACCGGTTCCGCCATGTTGCACGGCAACCGCCAAAATGATATCCAAATACAGTCGCAGCCTGAGCCGGCAAACCCCCAGTCAGTCGCCCATTTTATAAACCTGACTACTCTGGTGAACTCCATCGCTCCGTTAGGGAGCCAGATATCGGAACAGCATCCCTTAACCTGGAGGGCGGTGCCTCAGACGGATGCCCTTCAAACACAGGCCCAGCCCACCCAGCAGCAGCAGGCGGGGCAGCAACAGGTTCAAACAGAACAGCAGCAGCAGCAGCAGCAGCAGCAGATGTACAGCTACTAACTTATACTTGTAAGGAGACACCAGACTGTGAAGGGGCTTGTAGGAGCCCATGGGACACATACACCGCAGAATCGATTGCTGGAAACCAAACAGAGGTGGAGGAAAGAGCGCGTGCAATGAGGGCATGCTGATATCGGCCCAACAGCTTGAAAGGCAGAGGCCTTCAGAGTCGCTACCAACGCCAGCCCTACTCAAAATATGGGGTGAAATCAGCTGCTGGGAATAGCGAGAAGTCTGAGGTCTTGGGGGCTGTGGTACATTTGGCAAGGAGACAGGGAAATAAGAAATAGTAAATACAACAGCAGTATCTTCTAAAACTGTACAGCAAGAGCGTTTAAGTCACACTGAGTTAAGTTGCGACCAACTTGACAGCAGGATGTAAGGATGTAATTGAGCAAATAAGAAATGTTTCTGTTTTCCTTAGACCATTCCTGTATCTAATGGAACGTTTGGGGAAAATAAGTGGGTGGGGATAGTCCGTGATGTGAAATGTGCCTCATTTCATGAATCATTTCCATGTTGGTGATGGAGAACTCACTTTACCAATAAGACAGCTTGGGTTGTAACCTGGGGGGAAAAATAGCCAGTCTGATGTTAGAGCAACATTTATGGTCTTCTGTTTAGTAAAATTAAAACTTGAATCAAGCTTGTTGTGGACTAAACACTTAATGTGATAACAGAATCGTTTACAGAACTGCTTGTTGATTAAATATTACATTTAGCTAATAGATCTGAAAGAGCAGTTCTTCCCATTGAAACTGACTTTGCCAATTAGTCTTCTATCATGTCATAAATATTCGGGAGTCATTGTTCGATATTACCCTTTGCACTTCGCACTGTATTCTTGGTGGATATTTACAAATTAAGGGGCACTTTTTAAAGTGATCTCATGTATTTTTTCATTATTTTCTTCGTAATAACTGATACATGATTTTGCTTGAGGAAAATCTGAAATGCACAGCAACAAATTGCCTGGGTACAAGTCATAATATAATACCGTTTGTAGGTTATGTTGACCACAAGGAGGCAGCCTAGACTAAAATTAATGAAAATCACTTGCTTTGATAGTTATAGAGCTGTTGTATCATCTGTTCAGGCAGAAGAGGGCGTGTTTTGTTTTGCATCCGTATACAATGTATCTGCCATATCATGTGTTTAAATACAAATTCAATCTTCATCTTTTATGGAATGACTTAAAGAGCGTACCATCAGAAAATAAAGGAGGAGGAGCCCAGCAATACACAAAGAAAAGAATGAATAAGCATTTCCTTTGCCTTTGTGAACAACTGTTCTAGCTAAATGATAAAGGAAAAATAAGATTTGACAATCGACTGATGATTTCCTCACAGTTCCATTTGCTCTCAACTGTGTGCCGTTACTTACAGAAACTTTTCTAACCTTCCAGTACACATCATAGGAACAAGTTGCAAGTTAAGGTTGTGTACATATAGGACCTGTGAAAAAGATATTGCAGTTTGGAGTGCCCTTGGGTGCCAGCCAGTGATATTCTTTCCCATGAGACTTCACTGCATACCCTTAAGTTTTCCATCCCACTGCCTGCCGACAGCATTCTGTGCCCTCTGCGCATGCTCAGTCCTCACCAGGCTGTTTTTCAGACCCGCTTTTTATGTTGTACTTTTGGAAATCTTGGGGTTCCCCAAAGCCTGCTGATGCATGGATGGTGCCACTTTGGTCCTGGGTTCAGTCTCCAGCAGATGAGGCTGGGAATTTCCCCTGTCTGAGACCCTGGAGAGATCCCATTCATTTTAGACATTATCGAGCTAGGAGGATCAATGGTGTGACTCAGTTAAAGGCAGCTGCCTGTCTCCTGTGCTTTAGTTTGTAGCAGTACTGGGGAACCTGTGGTCTTCCAGATGTTGTTGTACTACAACACCCATCTGCCCTGACAACTGCCCTGGCTGGCTGGGGGCTGATAGGAGTTAAACTGCAGCAGCATCTGGAGGGGCACTGCTGGTCTACAAGATTTCTAGTCAATATTGCAGTTCAGATGGTTGGCCAACCCCCTGCCTTCCATCTTCATTTCCTCCATTCTTGGCTAGTGTGCAAAGTTGAAAGCTTCATAGACACAGCATGATACACAACAGTCTCGTTTTGCTTGGGCATCTGCCACTCTGCCTTCAGAAATTTGGGAGGGTGGGTGTTGCTCATCACAGGCCTCCAGATTTGTTTCATCTGTTGGGATCCTGGCTGATCCCTTATCACCACTGTCTCTCAGGAATATAGGTACAGCATGCCTTCCAGGTGATTGTGCCTTTTCTGTCTTCCCTTGCCTGTTGGCCTGCTGAACATCTCATATTCTTGCTATCTCATTAGGTCATATGCTGTATGGTGTACATTAAATCAGAAGGCTATTGCTTCAAATAGGAACCTACAAATCAACAGCCACATGACACAATTGCAACACTTAGTATTTATTTAGCACATAGTACCATTAATAAGATCTCAGTAATGGTTACAACAATCCTATATGCTAAACTGGCATCATTTATCATATACAGATGTGCCTAAGGCCATTTTGGAAATTCATGCCTGATTAGGGATTTGAATTGGGTAACAGATTCTTAACTACCATCTGTACTTGGAACCAAAGCATCATGCAAGCTGTGGTGTAGTGGTTAGAATGTTGGGCTAGGACCTGGGAGACTAGGGTTCAAATCGCTGCTCAGCCATGAAGCTCACTGGATGACCTTGGGTCAGTCACTTGCCTCTCAGCCTTACCTACTTCACAGGGTTCTCATGAGGATATAATGGGGAGGAGGAGAATGATGTATGCTGTCATGAGCTCCTTGGAAGAAATTTGGGATGTGAATGTAATAAAGAAATAATAAACAAATTCTTAGGAATGGGAAACTAAGGAAAGCAGTGTCTTCTCTCTATATTAGTACAGACAACATTGCTTATAGCCACTTGATAATGATTTACTCCTAATCACCTGGTGGTATGAATAATGTGCTTATTCAAATAGTTGCGTGCTCACTGTGGAAAGTTACAAACTGGTATATGATCAAGTATTTTAAGAGCTCCAAAGCCACAGGTAATATCTTGATTAGGACAAAATGCCAAGCAAATTATGGTGATTTAGTTAGCCCTTGTAAAGGTATTACCTTACTATGACTTTGAGATCCCCCCCCCAGTGGACCAGAACAGTTGCCTCCAGTAAGTACTCCCAGTTAGCTAAATACTGCGGACCCCCTTCCCCCCCCCCGAAAACCAAGCCATGGACCGCCTACTTTTGAAAATTTTCGTATCTCTATGGTAGTTTTTGTTTGTTATGTGAATAGTGCCCCGACCCACCTGGGTGGGTTACGCAGACTCCCGGGGGTCCGTGGACCACCAGTTGGGAACAACTGCTTTAAAGAGTCGTCAGAGAGATACAGGGGTCAGCAAACTTTTTCAGCAGGGGCTGGTCCACTGTCCCTCAGACCTTGTGGGGGGCCGGACTATATTTTGAACGGGGGTGGGAGTGGGGGATGAACGAATTCCTATGCCCCACAAATAACCCAGAGATGCATTTTAAATAAAAGGACACATTCTACTCATGTAAAAACACGCTGATTCCTGGACCATCCATGGGCCGGATTTAGAAGGCACTTGGGCCAGATCTGGCCCCCAGACCTTAGTTTGCCTACCCATGAGAGAGAAACTCCTGGGCTGGTATCCAATGAAATAGTTCCATTAACACAATGGCTGCACAACAGGACCTCCCCCCCCTGCAACCCCCAACCCTGTGCCCTCCCCAAATCTGCTTTGGAGGGTTGAAGGAGCCCACAGAACAGATTTAAGTGGTACACAAAGAGTAGGAAAGGAGGTTGTGTTGCACAGCCAGATGCCTTTATGGCAACAGAACTACTTCATTGGATACTGCCCCTTAGGTGCAAGAAAATACTCAAGATGTTTCCCCTGACAGATGCCTTTCCCAGCTTTCATGTACATAGAGGTGACATAGAGCAGTGTTTCCCAACCTTGGGCCTCCAGCTGTTTTTGGACTACAACTCCCATCATCCCTAGCTAGCAAGACCAGTGGTCAGGGATGATGGGAATTGTAGTTCAAAAACAGCTGGAGGCCCAAGGTTGGGAAACACTGACATAGAGGTTTGTTTTGTTTTCGGAAATGGTTATCAGCAGATAGAAGTCTATGAACAAGGAACAATGAGTTAGATATATGCATAACATGACTAATAAAATACTATCTGTTCCAGCTTCTGCAAAAAAACATATAGAAGATAATACCAAGAGGGGCTAAAGTTTCGCTGCCAAACAATGATATCTACGTATTGTGTTCTGTAGTTAGTTGTCTCGATAAGCACAGGTTCAAGATGGGTCATCAGAGAGGTGCAGGGCCTTCCATGACCTCTGGCAACAGACCTCATGATTGCATCAGGAGGTAATGCAGTCACAAATCACTTCACTTTCCACTGTACTCCTTAAGCTTTCTCGTTCCCCCTCAAGGCCTTTTTCTGAGGCACCCTAATGCATACTGTGAACTGAACTAACATTCTTTCCTCTCTTTTGATCTGCTTGCTCCTAGGGAGCCCACAAGTCAACATGTCCTTAATGTTACTTCACAAAAGGAGCCTTGTAAACACTAATTATGGAGGTTCATTATTCCAAACTTCCAAGTATCATTGGGATAGTGGCCCACACAATTAGATATTCATACAGCTAAATGTCAGCTTTAATTTGCATGTTAAATTTATTTTTATTTTAAAATATGCAGCGCTACGACTTATTATCTGCCAAGTCTGCATATACACTACACTTTCATTTCAAGCTCTTCCTCTTTGAATAAGATATATATGGGGTCACCAAAAACTTGTAAGTGCTTAGGACCTCTAAAGGTCTTAATTCGGCCCTGATTCCTGCTGTTGCACTTTCAACAGTTTCAACTTGGAAGATAAACCTATGTCTGGGCTGTACATTGTGTAGAGTGAGCAGCTGCTGCAACTTTTAATATTGGTAAAGAAGACAGTGTTCCCCTTCTGTGTAGCTATTAGAATATATAGGAGTTCTGTCCTCTTTTTCATCTAGCTACCCTAGTTGAGCTCCCTCCCAGCTTCAAGCTTTTATAATTTCTACTGGTATTGCCCACACACATCCAAGCATATCTGAACTAAATGTGATGTCATTGTTTTCTTCCATTTTAACAAAATGTCCACCATACCACTCGATTTTAAGAAAGCCTCTAAGTGGCTTACAAATCACCAAAACAAAATATTAAAATTTTACTCCCCATTTGCACAGCAAGTATCACCCCATGTGTAGGTATCAAGGCTAACAATGAAAAAAGCCTGCTTGTGATCTCAGAGCCAGCTGCTTATGTGGAACTAATGAAGAAAATAGCTATATGCAGGAGAGCATGAGTCATGCAAGAAACATGCCGCTTTGTTGTTTTATGGCGTATGAAGTCAAGATCTGCTAATTTTAGCCCTAACCCTGCAAGTTTTAAAGAAGGTCCTGTCTGCACAAAGGAGGTGGAATCTAGCCCAATGAGCGATGATGACAAACTTGTGTCCATGTGTACTAATGCAAGTTAAAACTACTTACAGAACCAGAAGAAAGAATGGGAAACTTGCTCCCGGGGGCAAATATATCTTATCTTCACTCCCTCCCCTCCCTCTTCTGCTATTTTCCCATGCTTTGCACGCAGATCTCAACATGCTCACATTTTTCCTGCGGGCATAAGCTTACTTTCATGGTTATTTGAATGAGAAAAACGGGCTTAAAGAGACTGAAAATTTCCAGAAGCAAAACAGAAAAAAGAAGAAAAGAAAAAGATGTGTAATGAGTGGGTTCCTGCTATGAGAATCTCTCTGTGGTGGAATCTCTTACTCTCTGGCATGTAATAAAGAAATATTTCTGGGCAGCAGATAGGCAGCCAAGAAACCAGCAAATGACTTCCTGAGACATTTCAGCATACTCAGAAAAGTGCAATCCTATGACTGCTGAGAGTGTTCGTGGGGCCATAGGATAGTGTGGATCTCCCTGCTCTGCCTGCAAATAGCTGGTGTGCCAGAAAGAGATGGAGGGGGGCTTTGGGTCCAGCAGATCCAAATACAGGTACCTCCTTTCCACCTGACGTGTCCCCAGAATTGGCGGCGGGGGGGAGAGGCCAATGTGCCAGCCTGGCATTCATATTCTTTCTGCCATTGTAACTAAAGGGAGGTGAATGTGTGTAAGCCAAAGGAAAATCACAGATACTCTCAGTCCTGCTAGCATTGTTCTGCCCATGCCAGGAAAAGGTGTCAGAGAAGCAGCCATGTTAGCTCAAAACAACAACAAATACTCTTGTGGCAGCTTAAAAAC